TCAGCCTGCAGGCCTAGATCCTTCATCCTGGGGCACAGACTTTCTAGCTTCCACTGCTGACCTTTGGGCCTTCCCAGCGCAGATCCTCGATGCAGACTTGCATGAGACATTGTCGTGGACTCTAGGCTCCAACTGGACTCATGGGGCCATTGCTACAGGCTCCAGATCTTCATCTGGGCTCATGCAGGACATTGCCATGGGATCCAAGCCCTCAGCTGGATTCTTTGAGTGTGTGAACAGATTTCATCCACCCTTCTGCATTTCTCTCTTTGGGTGAATATCATAAAATAATCCTATAAATTTATGTGTCCTGTATTAAATCTACAATATTCCGGAACAAAAGAATGTTTTTTTATTCTTTCCTCTGTTCTGTAGCCCTGCTCAATTCTTACGATGCTCTAGAATTTTAGAGCTGTAAGGAACTGCTGTCCCCTGCTTTTCTCAGAAACACGTTTTTCTATCATCCAGGCCGACAAGCAACTTGAAGTGGGCCGAAACCATCTGCCCCTCTTCCTGTCTGATTAGTCTCTGCTCCAAAAGTGTTCAGTGCGGGTCTTTGGCGAATCTTACTCTTACAGGTCAGGTCATTTTATCGTAATTTAAGCATTGCATTAGTGGCTTTATAATAGTTGAACGCACAAATAATTTTACTTTCAAGCATCTTTCCTCCGATATGACAAGACTGGCTTTTTGACAGTGTGACTGATGTTCAGGGGAGTTCCTCAGTTTGCTTATTCTCCATTAAGAGAAGATCTTTTTCTCTGAAAGTTAGTGTTTTCTTTGTATTTGATTTCCTCAGTGTTAAAACAGTATATAATATAAAAGTTTCTATGGGCTTTTCTGTGTTCTATTGACATTCAGTAGAATTTCCTTTTTAATATTAAAACAGCTATCAGTTCAGGGGGAATTTGTTTTATTATTTCTTTAAATATTTCTCTTTTTCCACTGAGTCTTCTCCTAAAACCTCTGTTACCTGGTGTATTCCTTCTGCTTCAAGCCTCCAAGTCCGTTCACTCATATTTTTTATTTTCCTTCTTTCCTGGGAGTTCCTTACTTATCCTCTAATTGACCAATTTCTCCTTCTGTCTCTGGCTCTTTATCTGCTGTGGTGTTTATGTCACAGTTATGTTTAACTAAGACTTTCTCTTGTTCCTCTTTACTGTTATGTTATTTCATATTTTAGTATATTTTTAAAATTTTCTCTGCATTTATCATGCTTATCTTATAATCTCAGTCTGCCTAGTTTATTAATTTTCCTCTTACTGGTATATTTTAGTGTTTTTGTTTTTTGGGTTTTTCGGTGCCAGGAATCAAACTCAGGACCTTGCGCTTGCCAAGACAGGAGTTTGTGCCACCAAGCTACATCCCCAGCCTGGTATGTTTTAAAGGAGTGTTTTGGAGGGGAAGAAAACTCAAAGGAATCGTTGATTTAGCCATGAGTTGAGCTTCTCTGAGGGTTCCAGCTGTGGCCCTGGTCAGGGGTAAAGGTTACAGGCCAAGTCCTCCTCTCCAGCAAACAGCTCACAGACAGAGAGGGGCGTGGGAGGACCTTCAGCTCTCAGGCTCATTCATGCACGCTCACTGTCTCCACATCAAACTGCCGTCCCCCTCCAGTGGCTCCCAAACCAGTGCTCTGGGCCTTTGCCTCCGAATTCTTCAGGAAGGGGACCTGCCATGGTTGGCGTCAGCACAGGAGGTGACAGCAGAGCTCGCGGTTCCTTGTTTGCCCTTTGCTGCCCACCCTCTTAGCAGTCCCTGTCCACCCAGCTGGCCCCTCCCCAGCACAGCTCGGCTCGCTGTCCCTCCCCTCCCGCGAATCCCTCAAGACTTTAGAAGGTGCTAGATTGCGTGTTTCTCCAGGCTTGGCTTGGCAGAGGAACCCATAACCGCTGTCGATTTTCCTCATTGGCAGAGCCAGTTAAAAGTTTTTTAAACAACCTTTATTTTTAGAGTTTTATTTTCTTTTAACAAAAGTAATATATGTGGGCTGGAGATATAGCTCAGCAGCACAAGTGTCTACCTGGCAAGCACAAGGTCCTGAGATTGATTCCCAGTACCAAAAAAAAAAAAAGTAATACATGTTTATTTGAGATAAGCATAAGAATGTTGCGGAAAGCATTTGTAACCACAGTTGGCATTCTGTGTGCTGTGCGCTCTGCCTGCCTTTCTCTCCGCATCGGGTGCTTCCTGTATTTAACCCTCTGATCCTGTCGTGTCAGGAGCACATTGCTCAACTCCAGTGCAGTGGCTTAGTCACGTTTCCTTGCATAATACGCCAGCGTCTGCAGAAAACGGTTCAACCAGTTTTGCACTGTTGGCTGCCTGCGTTGTTTCCCGCCTGCCTTTCTTACGCATTGCTGTGTAATGCACACCCTTGTAGGTGAGTAGGGTTCACCTCTACGGTGATCTCCTATCGTTAGATATAAAACTTCAGGTCAGAGGCTTTGCAAAATTCCATATATAACTTCACGTGAGAGCAGGATCTGGGTATACAAGGTGTGACGGCAAAACATGGTGCATTTTTTAAAAAACTTATTACAATAAAAGACGCATTGCAGTTAATCTCCTTGGAAATGAAACACTCCTGGGACACAGTTACCTCATCGTTCTTGGCACTCTCCAAAGCCGTTCTGGAGCCCTCTTTCAGGAGTGTCTTTAGTTGCCCTGTTGCACCTGCCTCAGTGTGCTGAATCGATTCGAAATGTTCACCTCTCCTGGTGATTGTGACTTCGGGGAAGAACCAGAAGGCACACAGTGCCAGATGCGGTGCAGACAGTGGACGAGACACAGTATCATGCGTTTCTGTGAACCTGCCTTTCCACTGAATGGCACAGTCGGCAGCAGCAGTCACTGGATTTTTGATCACCCCTCATACAGCTGTAGAGGCGCCACCCAGAACTGCTTCGGAAAGTAGCAAGAGTATGTTCCAAGTGAGGGGGCAGGATTTTGTTTTGTCTTGGTACTGGGGATCAAACTCGTGACCTCGCACTGACCAGGCAGGCTCTGTGCCACTGAGCTGTATCCCAGGGCCCGTGAGGGAGGGCTCTGAGAGGCATTAATGGCAGTGTCTTCTACTGTACTACATGTTTAAAGATCCACTGTATTTCTTGATCGCCTTGTATGCAATTTACTCTTACACATGGAGCGTGCACTTTTCTATGCGGTCTCAACAGGACAGATTTTTTTCAATTAAATTGGCCAGCTTCTGCTGCTGCTCTCTTAATTCAGCTTCCCTTGGGCACTTTACTCCTGGTTTCTGCTCTCACATGAAGCGAAGTTGGTTCTTCACAAAGACTCATCCCTTGGGCCAGCTTGATGGCAGCACCTGATCCGAGGGCTGGAAGGACATGTCGGTGACATGATCCAGTAGCAGAGTCAGCTGAAACCAACAGGCGTGTGTGTATGTGTGTATGTCCCCACATTACAAAAGAACTTGCTAGTTCTAGATAAAAGCTAGTCATAGCTAAGTAAATCCAAAAGTCACCAGTAATCCTGATATAGGTGGCTCCTGTGAAACATTTGGACATAGTATCTGTGAGCTGTGTTACTACAATGAAATTCCTGAGGCAACTAATGTTACGAAGTGAAAAGGTTTTAACTCTTTAAGTTCAAGTCTAAGATCAGATCACTGAGCTACTATTTTAAGTATACAGGATGATGCATGCAGGTTATATGCAAACACCCCATTGTTTTGTAAGGAAATTAAGTATCTGTGGATTTTGGTATAAAATGGAACCAGTCTCCTACAGATAACAAAGACGCTTGGTGGGCACTCGTGTGTGTGTGTGTGTGTGTGTGTGTGTGTTTCTTTTTTTTCTTGATACTGAGGATTGAGCCCAAGGTTTTCACACAGAGCTACATCCCTAGCTCTTTTTTTCATTTTGAGACAGGGTCTCACTAAGTCATTAAATTACCCAAGAGGGCTTAAACTTTCAGTCCTCCTGCCTCAGCCTCCCCAGCCACTCACCAGGCTGGGATTACAGGTATGCGTGATGCCTCCAGGCCCAGCAGGATACTGCCTTTTTAAAGCATTGCTTTCTCTTAGGTTTGTTGCTGCTGCTTGGTTCATTCCTCTGTTGGTGGCACTAAATATCTTACTGCCTTAGCTGTGGGGTGGCTCTGGCTGCAGACCCCCTTAGGGCATGGGTTGGGTCACAGGATTCTGTGTCATCTCAGGACATGTCCCTGCTGGCCACCTCGCACATCTCCACTGGTGTCCCTGCTTGCAGGCAGGGCAGGGCGTGGCCCCATTGCCCAGCTCATCTGTACATGATCCAGCTGAGCAGTGCCAGGCCATAGCCCAGGTCCCCACTGCTGCCGTGTCACTAGCTACCTGTCTTTTTGTAGCATCTTCTCCTGGGTGCACTCTGGGGCGTGGCCACCTATTTCCGTCTGCTCCCACCTGTTTCATTTGTTTTGTTTTCTCTCAGTATTTTGTTACCTTTCAGGCTGCCTAGAGCATGCTTACCTTTTGGTACAGCTACAGTTGTTATTTCTAGGGACTTACTGGAATGGAGTTGCCAAGCAGCAGAGCACATGAACACTTTTTTGTTCCTGTTACACAGAGCTGTGTGACCTGGATAGTTGGTTATTTAGAGCACAGTCTGGAGGCATCTACACATAGACTGGAACGCAGCTGTTCTTACCTGCAATTCAAGCAGCTTTCTCCTCTTCCTTAGTTCCTAAGTGAGGAGAACGTGCCCTGAGCTAGTGCACACCAAGACCTCAGCACGGAGGGAGCCCCGGGCTTCACATTCCGGTTGTCTAGTGTGGATTTGATTTGTGTACATACTTTACCTGTTCCTGCCAGCTTGATCCACCAGGGGTATGTTCGTGACTGTCCCATTGGGCAGCTTGTGCCACCCGATGGGAGTCATGCAGGTACCACCAGTGGTTCTGAGCCACCCAGCATCATATGCATGATGGCCGCATCATGCAGCAGTGATCACAGAGAATACCTGTGGGCTTTGCCAGTCGTAACACCTCTGTCCCCTGTCCAGCCCAGCTCCACCAACTGGAAGGGCTGAAGACCATCGGAGTCACCACCAATGGCATCAACCTGGCCCGGCTGCTGCCCTCGCTGCAGAAGGCGGGGCTCGGGGCCATCAACATCAGCCTGGACACCCTGGTGCCTGCCAAATACGAGTTCATCGTCCGCAGGAAAGGTGAGGCAACGTGGGGGTGGCAGGTGTCCTTGCCCAGCCTGCATGGCCGGGCCAGCCAACGGCCTTGAGCTGGGGATCAGCGCTTTCTCTCTCTGCAGGCTTCCACAAGGTCATGGAGGGCATCCACAAGGCCATCGAGTTGGGCTACGACCCCGTCAAGGTGAGGACTGTCCCTGCTGCTGACTTCTGCCTTCCTCCCACTCGGGACAGCAGCACCCGCCCAGTGCTGCTGAAGGGCACCTCCCACCGCGTCCATCCCTGCTGCCTTCCCGTGTCCCAACCCTTTCCTATGAACTGGAGAGAAAAGCAGTGACCCCGAGGAACCCTGCAACTCTGAGAACTGGGTGGGTGGAGGCACGGAGTGGTCCCCCATAGAGGACCTCCCCGCATAGGTCATCCCAAAGGGGCGCGTGGGGAGGGTGCTTGGTGATGACCCTCACTGTCCCCATGTCCTCGCCAGGTGAACTGCGTGGTAATGCGAGGCCTGAACGAGGACGAGCTCCTGGACTTTGTGGCCCTGACCAAGGACCTCCCCCTAGACGTGCGCTTCATAGAGTACATGCCCTTCGATGGTCAGTGGCAGACAGGGGCCTGGGGCTGAGGGGCAGGCAGCATCGTGAGGGGCCCTCACTCGTGTGATTGATCCACCTGAGTCAGATGGGGCCCCCCACACCCTGCATCCTGAATGGGGAGAAGTGGTTCCTGAGCTGGGCAGGAAGGGCTTTGAAGACTGGGGGTCCCTGAAACTCTGGTTCAAAAGCCCCTCTATCACATCCAATCAAATGCAGGCAATAAATGGAACTTCAAGAAGATGGTCAGCTACAAGGAGATGCTGGACACCATCCGGCAGCAGTGGCCAGCGCTGGAGAAGCTGCCCGAGGAGGACTTGAGCACTGCCAAGGTTGGGGACAGGGCCAGGGGACAGACACCTGAGATCCCAGTCTTCCGTCACTGAGTGCCTGGTTCCACCTGTGTTGGGCTCTTCTGGGAAGAGGGGGTTTCCCGATGTTGGGGGGGAGGGGCGCTCAGGCTCAGCAGTCCCCTCACTCTGGCTGGCCTTCTCCCCACAGGCCTTTAGAATCCCCGGCTTCCAAGGCCAGATCAGCTTCATCACATCCATGTCAGAGCATTTCTGTGGGACGTGCAACCGGCTGCGAATCACTGCTGATGGGAACCTCAAGGTGAGCGTCCATCCTTCCCAAGCACCCCTGGCCGCTGTCTCCGTCTCCTCCCACCAAGCTCCCCAGTGGGAGTGGAGAGCAGCTGGGTACGCTGGCAGGTTGGGGCCATTGTGTCAGATCATGGGAACAGGAAGAGAGAACTCACAGCAGTGCCGAATGGGTGTGCACTTTGCCCCGCCTGGTTGGCCCCTTCCACCGTGCCCGGGGCTCAGCTCTGAAACCAGCGTCCATGACCATAGATAATGAGCTTGGTGCCTGCATCCAGCCCGGCCCAGAGGGAATTCGAGGGCCCTTCCCCCTTTCAGGCATAAAATTAATCCCATGGGTATTCCAGAGTGGTAGCATACAGAAGCCTGGGATCTTCTGTCACGGGCAGGGCTGGGCACGAGGCAAGTGCAAGGGGCCTCCAGACTGAGCAGTGGACAGGGGCAGCCTTCGAGCCGAGTACCTCACAGGGGGAAGGGCACACATGTTGGGCTCATGTGATGGAAGTCAGTCTCGGGGAAACTGATTTAGAGTGAGTTTTTCTAGCAGTGGGGAGCTCTGCAAGGTTTCTGAACAAGACAGATGTGATCTGCTCCACATTGGATTTGAAGCTGGGAAGGCTCAGTAGCTGGCTGTTCGGTGATGCAGCAGAAATGTTAGTGTGTGAGGGGAAAGTGACATAGAAGTCAGGGCTTGGGGTGTGTGGAGAGGGGAGGTGTTGAGGTGGCTGCCAGGCCCTGAGACCTGTGCAGGCTGTGGGCAGAAGGACAGAGCTCAGGTGCATCCGATCAACACCAAAAGGAAAAGCATGGAGGTGTTCCTGGGGTGGCGACAGTGGCCTAGCAGGAGACAGAAGGTGGGTGGGTTTCTAAGGCTAATGTGATGGAGAGGCTGTCCTGAAATGTGTAGGCATTCAGGAAACAAGGGACACTGAGGCACCCTGACACAAACAGCAGCCCCCAGCTGTACCCCTAGGTGGGACAGGCAGGAAGTGACGTCACTTGCACTTCGGCTCTGAAGGGAAGCAGGAATGAAATGCCTGACCCTCCTTTCCCGTCACCTCCTGATACTGCCCATGCAGAAGCTGGTCACAGGGGAGTCCACAGGCGGGACCTCCTGGCTCCAGAGGAGGTCAGTGTGGAACCTGGTAGGCAGAAATGGGGAAATCCCAGAACACGGTGGGCGAGTTCAGCCTCCAGGTTGGAATGCATTCATCGGGGTCTTTTCCCCAGTGCTGCTGTGTCCACAGGGCTCTGTGCAGAGCTGCCATGCAGTAGCTGCTTTAAGATTTGTGGGCGGAAGGTGGTTGTCTTGACTGCTAAGATCACCTCGTTCACCACTGAGCCTCTCACTAAGCTGGGAAGTAGGGAACCAAGTTTAGGAATGCCATCGCCACCAGCCGTTGGTGGCTGCTTGGACTGGAGGAGGGGAGAGCAGGGGCAGGCAGTGATGTCCTCAGCTGGAGGGACCAGGTAGGGCCAAGGTAACATGTGACTGTGCCTGCTACACTTGGGGTCCTAGCTCCAATTAACTGGGGTCAACTTGGGTGATGATCAAGGCCATGTCCCTGTCAGACACGGCCGGAGCTGGGTCCTTCTGCACTGGCTCTGTTGGCACCTACTTAACCTTGAAATCGAGGTGCGCACTCAGAAGGAAATTGGCTGAGGCACCGGCCTTGGGCAGTGCAGGTTTCCTTCTTGCTCGTCCAGCTCCTCTGACCACTCCCTCCAGCACCTCTGTCCCTCCCTCAGGGTCGTGAGTTTGACCCTGCCCTGGGAGGCTTGGCCACCGGTGTCAGCCTGGGGCTCACACAGATGCAGAGGCCAGGGATGAGCGAGGCACTTGTCCTTGTCCCCACCCAGGTCTGCCTCTTCGGGAACTCGGAGGTCTCACTGCGGGACCACCTGCGGGCCGGCGCCTCGGAGGAGGAGCTGCTGACCATCATCGGGGCCGCCGTGGGCAGGAAGAAGCGGCAGCATGCAGGTAGGGGTGGGCAGGCTGTGCCACTGGCGGGGAGCCTGGCGGCATTAGGGGTGAGAGGACAGAGTCCAGGAGGAAGCTGTCGGCCTGCTAGTGCCTGCCCCCGAGGGGGCTCTGGACTTGGCACCCAGTGACGGGTCTCCTGGGGGAGATTGGCACAGCCAGTGCTGCTTAGCCCGACCCAGAAATTCTCTTGGGCTGAGGTTGAGGGTGTCACTGACTGTCTGTTCCCACACAATGCCAGTGCGGGAAGGGCAGCCGCCAACTGTCCTGGGGGCTCTGTCCTGGGGATAACTTTGTGTCTGGATGCTGGTAGCTAAGTGCATGTACCCAGGGCTGTCGGTCATCTCTGGCCACCCACCGATTTCAGCGAACTCTCCTCCCCCCCCTTTCCTGCTCTTCCTCCCCTCCTCTCCCCCCTCCCTCCCCTTTCCCCTCCCCAGGCATGTTCAATATTGCCCAGATGAAGAACCGGCCCATGATCCTCATCGGTGGGTGACCCATCAGTACGTAACCGCTCACCCTTGTCATTTGGGGGTCCTGTGGGATGGGGTCCCCTGCCACGAGACACCCCCAGCTCCTGCATCTCATTCTGACCTTCAATTCTGTGTATTTTTAATTCCTTCATCTTTCCCTACTCCTTCAAGTCCCATGTTTCCCTGTCCACAGCTCCCCCTTACCGTATATACCTCACAAGTGACCGCTCTGTCCCACCAGAACTTGGCATGGGCATTCTCTGGATTTCATGATCACTAAGTTCATTAATAGTGGAGCCTTCTTCAGTTAAAGTAGACCTTGTCCTCCTGGCTTGGACACCAGCAGGCATGCATCCTCTCCCCTCTGTAGTAAGGGGTAACCTATGCATGTGTGTCTGGACTGCTAGCCCCGTGGGTTGGTCTGCTGTGTCTGGGCCAGGTTCAGCTTGGGACAGCTGCCTAATAACCTTATCCCTGTAGCAGGAGACAGCCAGGATGTCTACTTCCCAGCATCCAGTTAGCTCTCGGCATCCTCCTTGCACAGGATGGAGCTCATGAGTGTAGACCAGATGGTTCCAATCTGCATCCCTCTGGGTAAAACCACAGCGGGTTTTCTACCCAGGGAAGTGGCCTGGCCCATGAGGACCATGGCTGGCCCCCAGCACAGAGCCCAGATGAGAACAGCAAGGCAGTGAGCAGAACTGGAGGAAGAGCTCTCTCCAGAGGCTGGAGCGAGACTGCCCAGGAAAGCAGGCTGGCCTGGGCGGGAAACAGCCCAAGGACCACTGGAGGTCTTGCTTCAGATTCTGATTTGGGAGGACTAGAATGGACCCCCCTCTGAGTTCCAGGGGGGATACAAGTGTTCATGGTCACTGCCTACATCTTCAGTAACGGCAGCCTGGAATAGCCTTCTCAAGGCTTCTGGACCGGTAGCATCTGCCTGTCAGTCTCCATGGACTTGAAAGACATTCCTTTAGCATCCTGTATCCTAAATGATTGCTATTAGCCCCTCATCAATAGCATGCAGGCAAAGTGACCATAATTGGTAACAATATGGGGAGACCTAAGAAAATGAAGAGACACTGAAGGCTGAAACCTAAATTAAATTGGCTTTCACAGCTTTCTATAAGAAGCGGAGTCCATGCCTGACCACACCAAGCACACGGGTGCGGAACTGTGAACTTGGACCAGGCATCTCCCCTCCCGTCCGCCTCCTGCTCTGTTTCTTACTGTGCTGCTGCCGCCCTCCTACCCATCCCCTAGGAGCGGGCGGGGTGGAGATGTGGCTGGGAACAGGAGGCAGCACGAAAAGCATCAGCTTCTAGGCTCAATCTCTTTTTCCTTCCTGCCTTCCAGGGTTATTTTTGACGTGCCAAGATTCCCCACCAGCCAGTCCAGTCACTTCTTCCTGGAGACCTGTCCCTGCTCAGGACCAGAGGCCCAGGCTGCTTCTCTCTCGCCTGATGGCAACTTGGTGGAAAACCAAGACGCCACAGGTGCCACCTCTGGCCTGGCAATGGCTGGGGGCTGGATCCCCTCTGAGACTTTACAGCTCCCAGGCAGACTCGGACACCACCTCAATGTGCCTTAGCCCAGGGACCCGGGCTCATGCCACCACCTCAGGACCCTGGGCAGCCTCAGATCAGCTCACGCACGTGGACTCAGAAGGACGGGCAGCTATGGTCGATGTGGGTAGGAAACCAGACACGGATCGGGAAGCCGTGGCCTCTGGTGTGGTCCTTCTGGGACCTGTGGCCTTCGAGCTTGTCCAGCAGAACCAGCTAAAGAAGGGAGATGCCCTGGGGGTGGCCCAGCTAGCTGGAGTCCAGGCAGCCAAGCTGACCAGCCAGCTGATTCCTCTGTGCCACCATGTGGCACTGAGCCACATCCAGGTGCAGCTGAGGCTGGACCCCGAGCGCCACGCCGTGGTGATCCAGGCATCCTGCCGGGCTCGGGGCCCCACTGGGGTGGAGATGGAGGCGCTGACCTCCGCTGCTGTGACAGCCCTCACCTTGTATGACATGTGCAAGGCGGTCAGCAGGGACATCGAGATAGGCGAGATCAAGCTCATCAGCAAGACCGGAGGCCAGCGGGGGGACTTCCGCCGGGCTTAGCCTCCCACAGCTCCTGTGCACATAATCTGGGTCAAGAGAAGGATGTCCAGTCCCTGAGACCTGTTACTGAAGCAGAAGCCAGAGTCAGGCTCCCTTGTGGCTGGATGGTGTATAATAACATGCCAGGTCCGCTTTGTACACAGGGGACTGCAGCAGGCCTGGGAGCCTTCTAGGACTCTTTGTTAATGGAGAGTTTGCCAAGTGCACCACTGGATACCCAGCACATCCTGTCCTGGCACTTAGGTGCCCAGCCCGTGACTGACCGAGTTTTCACGTCCCCTTTCTATGGGGAGAGGATAAGGGCTCATTCCACTGCGGAACCAACTTTGAGAAAGGAAACGCACACGCTTGCACCAAGAATGTTTCACAACTTCTCAGCAATAGCTTTGCCTCCGCAAATCTGAAGTCACAGCCCCTCGGTCTCTACCGTCCCTCCTTCAGAAGCCACCTGTCCCATCCTTTTGCCCAAGCCTGGGCCCCAGCCAGCCTGCAGGCATCGGGCTCCTCTTAGCAGGGCCCAGGTGTGGGCTCAGCCCTGAGGGATCCTGGCTGACCACTTGCCTCGCCCCCACCCTCTTTACCCTGGAACAGCAGGGAGAGGAGAGAGCTGGAGGTCACCTTCGCGCTGTCAGCACCCAAATAAAGCCACGCTGCCAACTTCAGCGCAAATGAGGTCTGTATCTGTGGGGAGGGCACCGCACTGCTCCGCCTCCACCCCCATCCTAGCCCATCCTTCCTGCGCACGAACATGTGTGGGTTGTCTGTGCTGGGCCCCCAGCCTTGGTTTCATCTACCCAGGGCCAGTTTGTGCTGGCCAACATTCTCCAAGCAGCTTTCTAGAAAACAGGCTTTCCAATTCAGCCTGTTCCTGTGTCGCCCGACTCTGTGCAGCATTCCTGAGAAAGTGACAGGAATCCCTCCCTGGCCCTCCCCCCACCAAGTCCCTTAAGGGGGGGAAAAAACACGTTTCCAGGCACTCTGGGTGGGGGTGGTATGGATTTAATAGTTTTTAGTATTACAATATATTATAAAAAGGTGCAGGTAAAAAACACTGCGGATTTTGTACAGGAGCCTCATTTATGAGACAGCTGGTGAGAGCAGCCTTTATGGGACATCCCTAGGAGGGAGAGGGCAGGGAAGATGGTCACAGCTCCCCAGTTGGCAGTGGGACAGAGGCAGGGAGCACCTGACTCAGCTTTCCCCACCTGCCAGGAGAACTTTCTCCCAGACATGCTGCTAGTGAAGATAGTACACACTGCTAAGGGGGTCTGCATTAGGTTGACGGCTGGAGAATCTTACCCAGAAGGGGCTACAGCCGTGGGTCCCAGGGGAAAGAAAGACCAAGGAACACACTAATAGCCTTAATCAGTTAACATCAGGAACCCACCCAGCCATCTCCCTGGGCACCAGACCCTTTTTACTGAGTAGGGCATGATCTGCAGCCAGAATGGCATCGACTAGTACCAAGAGCCATTAGCCAGATCTAGAAAATAATAAATAGGAAAGCAGCAGCCTTTGGGGGCGGAAAGGCTGGGCTCCGGAACAATGTATGCACCTTCTGTAAACAGTTAAACCGAACTCCGCCTTGCTGAGGATCACCCACACTGTAAACAGCTTCCCTGCTCCTTGTTTTTCTTGGTGCAAAGATGGTCTTGGTGGGAAGGCCCGGATGTGGACACGCCTGTCGCTGGGCAGAAGTGGAGCCTTCCCTTTCACGTGATCTGAAGACTCAGGCCAGTTGGGGAGAGCACCTGGGGTCGCCACCATCCCATAGCCTGCTGCTTGCAGGGCGCTCACGGGGCCCACACGGGCCTAACTAAACTCTCTGCAGCTGCTCCTCCTAGAAGCCTCCAGCTCACCCTCACCTGGGCCCTGTGACGGCCCGGCTTGCACTTGCTCAGATCCCGCCCACCTGCACGCACCTGCCCGCCCGCTCAGACCAACACACTTGCTGGGCTCAATGACCTCACTTGTGGCTCTGGGCCCCCTCCCCCCAGGAGCAAAGACAGGCAGCAGAAGAATGAGCCCAGCCAGCAATCCGGACCCTGGCAGAGACCCTGGGGAAGAGGAGCAGGGCAAAAGGGCCGGGCTGGGCTGGACTCGGGAGTGGAGGTTGTGCGAAAAATAAGCCATGATGGAGTGGACCTCACCCCCTCCATCTAGAAAATGAGCCTAAATACAGCCATCCCATCTACCTGCCAGCACAGCTCAAGATGGACCAAAAGGAAGGAGTGGATGGGAGGACCAGTAAGCCCCTTGGAATTTGGGGAAGAACCAAATAGAGCACCAGAGACCAGATACCCCCCATGAAGCCAGCTTTCCTCCATCTGCATGTCCCCAGCAACCCACGACCCCCAATCTAGAGGGTGCCGTGTAAAGGCACAGGGCAGTTCTGGCTCTCAAAACTCAACGTCCCAGGGCCGGGGACATGCAGTTCCAAGTGGCCTCCTGCAGGATGGGCAGCCAGGGCAGCTTTTGCCCTGTGGTGTTAGCGAAAGGCAGTGGTTTAAGTGATGCTCCCAAGTGGGAGCTTGTGCAGGAGGTGGGCATTCAAGTGTCACCCTCTGGTCAGGCACCATGGGCCACACGTGAGGTCACTGTGTCACTGACAATTGGCAGTGCTGTGGGGCAGGACCCCCAGGCCCTGTGCCTGCAGCGTGAGCCGTGTTGACGGTGAGCTCTCCCGGACCCCTCCTTTAGCAGATTTGGCCAGTACCCAGGAGTGGGTTTTAACCCTGCAGGCCAAGGGTGAATTTCCGGACTGTGGGTTAGCGGAGCGCAGGGAGGAAGGGGAGCGACCAAAGGGCCTACACTGTGGGGCACTGCTGCTCCGTCCTCACAGCTGGGGCCCTGCCTCGCTGTCGCTCCGTGGTGGTTTTTCCGGACCAGGCCAGAGCTGAGCTAGCAGCTCTTAACTCCGGAGGCCTTGCCCGAGTTCCCAGGAAAGTTGGCCCCTGGATCAGAGCTGGGAGCCAGGATTCCCGGGGTGGGGGAGGACAGCCACCCACAGCCTGGGGTTCCTGGCCAGAGCTGTCCACAAATGACCCCTGGGGGGCCGGGGCCCAGAAAGAATCTTGCTTAGGGAGACACTTGGTCCAGCACACAGTCCCGGCCCCAGGACCCAGCCCTGGCCTTGACACCCAGCACCGTGTCGAAATCTCGTCACCTGCTCCACTCAGCCCACATGGCCCCGGCCGTCCCAGGCTTCCGGCACGGCCAGTCCCCAGGTCAGTGGTTCAGCCGGTTCATTGCCCGCTCGCGGGCGACCTCCGGGGCCTGGTTCCCTGAGCGCTTGCGGCCGCGCTTGAGCTTGGACAAGTCCTTGTCGAACACCTCCCCGGAGCGCAGGGCCGACACCAGGTCGTCGAACTCGCCGCCCTCCTCCAGCTCCAGCGAGCCAACGGCCAGGACCTTGCGCTGCCGCTGCCACCGCTCCCGCTCCCGCTGCTCCTTCAGCTGGGCGTGGGAAGGCAGGGGCTGAGCCTTGGGTGGGCACCATGCCCCTTCCCGGGGCACCAGCCCCCACTCCCCATGGGTCCCCCCAGTGCACCCCAGGCCTTATCCCGGCCCCAGCCCGGCCCCTCACCATGGCTTCCATGCGCGCCCGCCGCTCTTCCTCCTCCTTCCTCTTCCTCATGGCCTCCAGGTCCTGCCGGGCCTCCGAGAAGGCCTGCAGGAAGGTGTCGAAGATGCCGAAGAACCCCTCGGGCTGCATGTTGCTCTCCTGCTCCCCAAAGTGCATCAGGGCCTTGGCGAACTGCAGGAGGGAGGGACAGGTTGGCAGAGTCACAGGCAGGTCCTGAGCTGGGACCTCCTGGCATGCGTGGGGTGACAAAGCCCCTGGGATAGAGACTGCGGGTAAGGACAGGGTCGAGGCTGACCCTTAGGGTGGACTGGGGTGGGGACACACAGTGCCTGCTGGGAGCCTGGTGGAAATGCCCAATCTCCACGCCCTCGCCCTCCATCCCAGGCCTCCTGAATAAGAAGCCACATTTGAAAAAGTCCCCCTGTTGTTCCGTGTCCAGGTTAGTGAAAGCAGAAGCTCGAGGCAAAGCTGGGCTCCAGGGTCTCAATTGCTACCCACTGCCTCTTGATCACATCACTTCACCTGCCTCTGTGTCCCCATCTGTGGAATGGGACTGTAGGCATTTAGCAGATCCAAAAATTAAGTGGTGAGACAGTCATCCAGACATTGAAGTGGTGGCCCTACCTGTTTGGTAGGAGCAGGGCCACGTTTCTCCAGGGCCCTGTGGCTGTCCCTGCGAGGCTGTTTGGGAGCCAGAATGAAGGTGCCGTGCTGGTTAAGGCTGAGGCGGGGGACACCCTTACCTTATCCCTGGCCTCATTGAGCTGGTCTTCCAGCTCGGAGAAGCTGAAGCTGGACACCGTGATGAAGTCACTCATGACGGGGACAAACTTGTCATTGGGCTCCCGCACCTGGTGTCTCTGATAGTCCAGCTCCTGGGCAGGAGGAGGTAAAGGCCGTTTAGATGGATGTGGGCTGAGAGGCAGGAACTCGGGGGTCACCCCACATCTACACTGCTAAAGGTGACAAGGACCATCTACCCGCCGGTGTCTGCCCCGGCCACCAGCACTGCCAGCTTTCATCCTGCAATGCCTTGGTACCCAAGCATGGTGGGAGCCAGCAGCATGTCCCAGGAAATCTCAGGAAATGCAGCCCTGCCCCAGACCAACAGAGCAGATTCTGCACTTGAACAAGACCCACAGGTGACCAGAAGGATACTGCTACTCCACATGCTAGACTCCAGCTGGTTCAGATGTCGCTGGACCACGCCCTGAATAGTAGTATTTCAAAGGACTACAGAGTGGGACATTTGGAACTCGCACCCACCCCCATCCTCGTGGTGGCAAAAGAATGTCGTTTGTTACATACACCTAAGCTTGGCCTCTGGGTCCCCTTTCCCTCCAACCCTTACTGTGAAGATGGGGACAGATTCTTGTCCCTAGTTTTGAAGGCCACAAGGAGAAAGATGTCTGGGACATTGGTGGTGGTCACTGAGAGGCCATCTGAGCAGGAAGGACAGGGACCAGAGCCCTGGTACTAGAGCCTGAAGTATGGTTCCCACCAAAGCTCCCCTATAAGGTGGAAACATCCAGAGGCGCGGTCTTTCACAAGGTGCCCTGAGCATGTGATTATCATAAAAGAGACCGAGGGGCTTTGCCCCTTCTACCATGAGGCCACAGTGTGAAGGCTCCGTCTCTGAGGAATAAGCCCTCACCAGACACTGAATATGCTGGAACCTTGATGTTGGCCTTCCCAGGCTCCAGCATTGTCAAAAATAAAAATCTTTTTCTTGCATCCCTGCCATTCAGTTCATGGCATTTTGTTATAGCAGCAGGAATGGTCAAAGTCAGCACGGGCCTTCCCTAGAGACAGGAGGCCTCTAGTAGAGAAACTGAGGCAGACCTAGACCAAATTCATGTTTATGCCACCTTGCTGCTATGTGGACGCCGTATTTTTTTGGTGACACAGAAACAGTGTCAAATAGGTGCCCCTCTTTAAAGCTCACATCCAATCGCCCTTTCCTGAGGGATGCTCCACTGTGCCCATTGTTCCCGCAGCCCCACCGAGAGCACTGGATCACAGAAACGTCTCGGGGGCCAGAGGCTGGTGGCAGAAGCAACACCTCCAACAGCACCCCCAACCCCGGGCAGGCTGACATCACACTCACCTGCTCGACAGCTCTCAGCCCCTTCTTGAGGTTGTTCACCTCCTTCTCCAGCTCTGCCAGGCTGTTGGGGGAGAGACGGGACGGAAGGTAGGAAGGAAATCAGTGTGGTGCCAGGAGCCAGAGCGGATGCAGGGAGGGGGCGGGCGAAGCACAGGCCTGGGGGCAGCGGACTGATTTGTGGCCCTGGCACCTCACTTCTGTTCAAACCATCGGCCTTCTGTACAGTGATGGGGATGAAAGTTCTGACCCACAGCAGAAGGTCTCTAACACCTGACTTAGATCTAACTGTTACCTCCAGGTGGTGCTGCTCAGCTCCCAGCAGGGGGCTGTGTTTTGAATGCACCCCCAGAAGTTCCTATTGGAAGCTTCAGTCCCCCCAGTTTGTATGATAATGGCCTATGGGGTGGGGCCAGTGGGATCAGGGTTACATAAGGTCCTTAGAGTGCTGTCCCAAGGTGGCACTTGGGGCCTGAGGACACCGCAGCCCAGCTAGCATGCTTGCCCTGTCTTGCTGAGGGAGGCGGTCAGAGCTGTGGTTATTTATGCTCCAGGGGCCAGGCTGACCTTAGCACCCTGCTCTTCCGCAGGCTCCAGGATCACAAGCCATACTCTGAGATTTTTGTGTTTTGTTTCATAATGGGGTTTGAACCCCTAGAGCCTTTGCACTGAGCAACATCACCAGATCTTTTTAAACTTTTTACTCAGACAAGGTCTGGCCAAGTCACTAAATCGCGCAGGTGGGACTGGAACTTATCATCTGTCTGCTTAGCCTCCCAGAGGGCTGGCATCCAGGTGTGCAGCACCACGCCCAGCTCAGACTCTCAGCTTTCATTCATTAGTCTCAGTGATTCTGTTACAGCAACAGACAACAGACTGAGACACGGATGGATACCTGGGAGTGGCCTTTCCCGCATTGCGGTGCTGTTGAACCTGGCTTCTGCTCACCCCTATGTCCAGGTCTGAGTGCTACAGAGGCTGCTGTTGGTGAAGGGCATGCATCTGACTCTCCAGCTAGGTGAGCACTCATATTGGAAATCTAAGTCCCCAAATTCATGAGATAATGGTCAGGGATAATGTCTGGTCTTTGTACCCACGACCAGAGAGTTACGGCAGAGTTCCTCCAGCCATTGACTGGTGTGGAAGTCTGTAGGACCGCCCGATGCCCTCATCCATCAGGTGGGTGACAGGCTGAGTGTCCTATGCTGTCTTCCAGAATTCCCTAGTGGGGTGAAGCCTACAGTAGCAATGGGCTTACTATGGTTCCTGCTACTGGCTGCCTTCCCATACCTCGTTCAATTCCCTGCTCCTCAACTAGTGTTTTCTGGAATTCTCTTTGAAACAAGGATTTAACAGCGCAGTGTTTTTGTTTAGCTTTTCAAAAGGAGAGCCCAAAGCACTGCCCATCCCTATTAGGTCCTGGAAGGTGGGGAGAAGGAAGCCTTGGAAGGGGCGGAGCGGAGGGACCCTCACTTGACTTTGGCGGCATCCGGGAGATGCTGCAGCTCGGAAGGCAGGTTCAGGATGTCAGGGAAGTGTTTCTCCAGGATCATGATCAGGTAATGGAGCAGAGAGATGTTTCTGTGGATGAATCAGGCCAGGGAAACCGGCATGGGGTCAGGAGGAAGCTGAGGGGGGTGAAGGGGAAATGGGCGGGGAGTCCAGGAGGGAAACGGAGGTGCTGAGGAAGCAGGGGCATCCCCACCTGTCAATGCTGGACTTGGTGTCTGCGATCTTGTTGAGGCTGGCCACCCGGAAGCCGGAGGCGCCTCCGCGCTGGCCCTTGTTCATGAAGTTGCCGATGGCCAGGACGACTTCCAGCATCTGCTTCAGACGCTTGCTGTGTGTCAGTTCCCGGGAGGCCAGCAGGATGGCTGGACAGGGGAAGGTTGGGACACTGTGCAGACTGGCTCAGGACCAGCAAGTGTCCTTGAGTCTCAGGGAGGCACAGAAACCCTACGAAGGTTCTGGGAGCCCTCCCACTTGTTCCTGCCTCTGGGGAAGCAGATACAGCATCATCGAGGGCCAGGTCACCAACGGCCCTTTCTCAGTCTTTAAATGCAATGAGACATTTTCAAATCCACTCTCAGGAAGCTGATACACGGTTAGGGTCCTGCTCTCAATATGTCCTTCGATAGGACGCTTTGACTTTAAACTCAGCACTTTTAAAACATTTGTTTTCTGCATCCTAGGTAGGATGTTGAGATTTTGTATTTTATTGGTTTGGGGGAAAGAAAGCTCCCCCAAACTTATGTTATTGATGACACTATTCATAGGTTTTCTTTGATCGATAAAGTAACACTGTGATTTAGTGGTCTTCGATTTGATGATGTATAACTCAGCACTCAGACGTCATTAAAAATTTAAACACTTTAAAAGTTAAAACTATAATTGAAAAATATAGTTCTAGTTTTAAAATTTTCCCAAACCTTAGGCATTTTAACCATTTCCCCTAAGGCTTAAATGATTCATTACCAGAAATACAAACCAGCAGTCCACTCTGATGTGTGTGCTCTAGTTAATGTGCAAGAGTGAATTCAAATTCCTACCCTGAGATTTTGATTGCTAGTTATGGAAAATGTTTTTTTGATATTAAAAGTAAGGACTGGCTAGAGCCAAATAGGAATTCCTATTGCTGTTTATAACGATGTTATAGTTTAAATATGAAATACCCCCCAAGACTCATGTATTAAGGGTTGATTCCCAACGGTGAATCCACTGATGAGCTTGTGGCTGAATGTGCTATTAAAGATATGGGGCCCAGCTGAAGAAAGTGGGTTCCTGGGTCTTTGAAGATGATATATACCCCCCTTTCCTCTGGCTCTTCTCCTGTCTGCTTCCTGGCTGCCATGTGACAGGCAGCTTCCCTCCACTGTGCCCGTCCACCGTGCTGTTTCCACACTGGAATTGGCTGACCGTGGACTGAACACTCTGAAACCATGGGCCAAAATAAGTATTTGCTCCCGTAAGTTGTTTTTCACAGGCATTTGAGCTTTAGCAACAGAATCCTGACCAGTACAGAAGATAAAAAGAAACCCACTCAACTAAAGTCTGTAGAAAACATCAGAAGCAGTTAAAAATAACTTACAGGAGAAGCTGTAAGTTTTGTCTGTTGCATTGAAGTTGAACACTTGCTCATGACTCTAAAAGCAACATTACGCTTGTGAACAGTTGAGCTATTCCTAGCTTTTTAAAAAAATATAAATAGAATGGAGTAAAGTGAAGCACTGAAAATAGATTCTTCACTGGAGAGTAACTCACAACCATAATATCAAGCAAAAGAAGCCTGCATAAAATTATTCATAACATTATCACATGTATATAAAGTTCAAGGCAAAGTAATCTAGAAGTCAACATGGCTCCTCTCCTTAGAGGGATGGAGATGAATGTTTGGGAGAAGACAGGAAGAGGGCCCCGGAGGTGGGAACATCCACGTCTTCACCTGAGTGTCAGTCGTAACAGGGTTTCATCAAGTCTTAGGTTTCTGTACTTCTGTGCATGCACAGAGCATTGCAATAAAAAAGTTTATTTGGCAAAAGATCACTTATAAAAGTTTCCAGCAATTTATATAACCTGGGATGGCTTTTCTAAAGCTGAATTACTATTTGAAAAATTCACAAAGGAAGCCTCCTAAAAATGCTAAAATGTTGGCAAAACAGAAAATGACAGGAATTCAAAAGGGAATCCACATAAACGGGAAAACTTCCGTTTGCAACCAGGACATTTTATATCCATTCACAAAAATTATGCCGCCATGAATATATTCATAAGAATATTACTTTTGCAACCATACTCATCTTGGCTGTATTCCGTGAACGCAGTCATAATAGGAAGTAGTAAATTTGGCATAGAAGGCAGTGAACGCATTCATAAGCAGAATCTATTCATGAGTACAACCCTGAGCGTATTTACAGAAAAATCGGTAAATCTCTATTGAGCATTGGCTTTTGGCAATTGATCCAGAGCCCCATCCCTGCTGGGGGGCAGGGGGAGTGGTGTCAACAGCCCGGGACCTGGGAGGACAGGTTAAATTTAGCTCCTTTCAGCGGTGTCCTCCATGAGGAGGAGGAGGAATAGGAATCTGACTCCTACACAGTTTCCTGCGCTCCAACTCAGCTGACGACACTGATCCAATTCTATACCTGGTATGATCAAAATATACTGTGAGCGTTTAAACTGTGTAAAGCAATTTATTGGGGTAAAAGACGTCACCATAAATTCCTCCCCAATCCCTCTCACTGTGAACACTCATCCCGTCATTCTTGGCCTCTTTCTGAAGCAGTTCTGCAAGCCCTCTTTTGTGAGTGTTTTTATAAGCTGTGATTATTTTAAAAAAGGAACAGTAAATGGTGCTGCCAGGAAAAGCAGGCTTGTAAAAACAGGACAGTGTCTCCCTCCACCTGATCCACCAGCTCCGGCACCAGGCACTTTGGCTCTTCCCCAAAGCCAGAATGATTATGAAAGATAAATGCTTTGAGTCATTTCAGGACTCAGTGGCAGCTACAGCAGCAGAACTAAAGACCTCCTTGAAGGAGACTCCCGAACTGCTTCAGAACGTGGCGAGAAAGATGGAATCAATGTGCCTGAAGCAGGAGAAATTTTCTTGAGGGAGATTCGTGCCAGTGTATCTTCTACTGTAATATGTTTTAAAAATGACAATATTCAGGACATGGTTCAGTCCTACCTCAGACAAATGCAGCTCTCTTCCCTGCCTCACTCTTGGGCTATCTGGGGACAGTGGCCATTGCTCTAGGCAAGCAAATCTTCTAGAGGGCAGCTAGGAAACAGCAACCTTCCCTAGCAATTTTGTTCTCATCAACACATCTTATTCTGTACGGCCTGATGTTAAAAAGGAGACTTTAGCCAAGGCAAGGCAGTGCACGCCTGTAATCCCAGCACTCGGGAGGCTGAGATGGGAGGACTGTTGTGAGTTCGAGACCAGCCTGGGCTACAAAGTGAACTCAAGGCCAACCTGAACTGCATAGTGAAACCCCGTCTCAAAAAGACTAAATAAAAGGAGATTTGAGACAGCATCTCCTGGCTAACTCTTCGAGTTTAGCAGGAAGCTTCTGGGAGCAGGAAATAGCCTGGGACTAAGTCTCCCTAATGGTCAGACTACTCTGCATGCTTAGCTCTCAGTGGGTTCTGCACATTTGCTCTGCTGACCCGAGAGGGAGCTGAGCACATCCACCTCGGGCTGAGCGCCTTATCTGTGCTTCCCACCCCAAGATCAGCCTGCAGCAGAAGAAGTGGAGATGAAGATAAGGATCCCCCCCATCATCCCGACAAAGAGAAGCAGCCAGACCTGGGTGATGACAGGAGCTCCTGCTCTTTTCTCTTCTCCCTCAGACTGAAATCCATAGCCCTGAACCCGTGTGCGCATGTGTGTGGTGTGTGTGTGTGAGAGAGAGAGAGAGACAGACAGACAGACAGACAGGCAGGAAGGAGTGGGGCTCAGATTACCAAAAATGTTAGCCTTCCGCTCCGCAGGTTCCACGCTCCCCAAAGCAGCCCGGCTGGACCCCAGGAGTGGCCTCTCATATGGACACTCAGCTCGTGGGCAGTGGATTGACTGATTGGATAATTGCCTCTTGTGTCCAGCAGGGGGCGCCATGCGCTGCTCCCCCCACTCCCCACCCCCCCCAACCCCCCCACCCCCCACCCATACTGTCAGAATCTGGACCTGGCTTCTTCTGTTTTGTGGTCCCGCCCTCACCCCAAAGGAGCACACCAGCCCCATCCCCTTCTGTCCACCATCGTGCTCTCCGGCCTCTTCCCACAACCCCACAGGGGATGCCCACTGCGCCACACCTGGATTCCTGCCCCGGCTCTGCCACCCCCAGTAACATGGTAACTTCCACAGCCCTGTTAGACACGGAGAAAGGAGGTCCACAGAGGGTGACGACAGCGCCGCCCCGGGCGTCCTGTGGGGACCAAATGCGACCATGCACATAAGGTGTCTCACACCGGGGCACGCGGGCCTCAGAAACTGTGCATTTCCCATTCGGAAACAGCCTGCGTTGGAGAGGTTTCCCCGGCTCAGAAAATCGGGCACCTCCACAGATGACTTCACACCGTTTCCCAGGTCCCGAGGGGCTCACACTTAAGACGATATCCGGAGACGTCTCCTATGATGCGCTTAGAGCCCCTTGGTTAGAGACCGAGGCATGCGTGCCAGGCACGGCGGGCACCTGTGCGTGGTTGCGCCCCCCCCCCCCAGGGACAGAGGCCAACGGCGCCGCTCCCTGCAGGTCCCAACGCTAAGGCAGAGGCTGTGCCACAGCGCTGGCACACGAGCCAGTGGAAACCAGGCCCCAGCAGGCAGCCCTACCTTCCACTTTGGGCTTGGCCTCCGCCAGCCGCTCCTGGAACTTCTTCTTGAAGAACAGGGCCTGCAGGCGCTGCTGATAGTGGTCGATCCTGGGGGTAGGGTAGGGTGAGGTGCGTCACCTCGGGCTCCCTCCCGGCCAGGGCCATCTGCCCCGCCCCTAACCCTGCTGGCCACATCCGCTGCCCTGACCTGCTCATCTCATAGAGGAAGCGGTCAGCTCGCGCCATCCGCTCAATCTCGTGCTTGTGCTCCTCGAGGAGGTCGATGTCGCTCTTCTCAGGGATGAACTTCAGGAGCTGCAGAGTGGGGGGGGGGGGTCAGACAAGAAAGAGGTGCGCAGCCGACCCAGGGGGTGGGGTGTGAGGCGCTTGGGATGCACAGCGAGAGGAGGGGACCACAGGAGCCCAGCCCTTGACTTCCCGAGCTTCCTCCCCTCCTGAAACTCAGCCGTATCTCACAGGAAGTCCACTGTTCCCAAGTACACGGATCAGTGACGTTTCTTTTTCAGCAAACTTCATGGAGATACACTCTACGTAAACACAGGCCCATTTTAAATGGGCACCTCGGCCAGTTTTGTCAAAACTCTCTACCCCCGAAACACCAGATCTAAAACACCAGATTAAGATGCAAAATATTCCTCTCCTCTTAAAAAGCTCTTTAGCTTCGCTTCAGAAAGCCGCCCCCCACCCCAACATAGCCTCAACTGAATTCCAGCGCTGTAGATTTGTCTGTTCTCAAACTTCAGCTCAATGCACTCAGGCCAGGTACTACGGCAAGAATGGGGCCCCCTCTGAGTTCACAGGTTGGAAATGTAACCCCCAAGGGAGATAATGGTAATGGTAATCCCCAACGGGAGATAATTAGGATGATGTGGAAGCCATGGACATGGGTCCCCATCGTGTTCCATAAGAGACCCAGGCTAGGTGCTTGTTCTAAGTTACCAGATGCCAAGTAGAGACGGAGGCCAAACTCCTGGGCTTTCCAGCCTCAGCCCAGCTCACGTATTACAGGACAGCAAAGGAAAATGAGTGGTGACATTGTATGCCCTCTTGGGCATCTGGCTTCTCTCCTGCAACCTAATGCCTCAGAGTCCTCCATGCTGGGTGCGGGAGTTTGTTTCCGTCTATGGTAGACACCACAGATGACTTTGGACAGCTGGCCTGCTCACCCCTGGGGGGCTTTATAAAGTGGCTGTGAATATTCTTGCACACGTCTCTTAGCCACTGTTAACACTGGTTTCTCTCGAGTACACGCCTAAGTACAAAGTTACTGAGCAATGGGGTGGGGTGCATGGCAAGCCCTAACATGCTGTCAAACAGTTTTCCACGAGATTTGTGCCGGTGAGGGTCCCAGTCAGTTCACATCCCTGCCAGCATGGGGCACTGTCAGTTCGTTAAATTTCAATCTTCTGCTACCTGAGTAGGTTTCTCACTGTGGCCGGTGACATTTCTTTGATGGCTAAAAGGATTGAGCTCCTTATGTGTGCTTACTGGCCATTCGGACATCCTCCTTCATGAAGCACCTGTTCGAGTCTTTTGCTCATTTTTAAGTCGCTCTGTCATTTTCTGGTTGATTTGTGGAGTTCTTTCTCACGAAGATGAAATACGTTATGTGACTGAATGTGTGAGTGTGTGTGTGAGCATCTTCTAAGGCTTGGCCTATCTCCTCACTCTAGTGATACAGACCTGCCTGGTGACAGACAGTAGTTCTTTTCTTTTGATTGATGTTACTTTTGCGCAATGTTTTCTGGGTTTTTCTTAAAGGATGCAACAGACTGAGGTAGATGAGATTTGGAGAGAAAGTGTTTATTGCCGCCCCAACTTTGGCTTGTGACCTGTGAAAGACTTCACCTCACATCTCCGTCTGGCCTTCTCAGAGGTCCCTGGCAGCTTGCCAGCCTTTTCCCAGAAAAGCTCAAGCAGGGAACCAGCACCCCGACTCCCCCAGCTTGATTTCTCCTGGAGCCAGGAGTCGCAGACTCTCTGGGGGATCTGGGGAAGGGGTGCATCTGTTCCCTTCCCGCCCACCCGGCCCTCACCTGCTCCAGCATGTCCTTAGCGAGGTCCTCCTGTTCGTCCATCTTCAGGATGGCCTGCCGGATCTCCTCGTTAGAAAGCTTCAACCTGAGGCAAAGCCTGCCCCTGAGCTCCTGGGCTCGGGCACCCTCCACACCTTCCTCCCCAGGCCACCTGGCCACATCCTCTGCTCTCTCCCTAACGTGGACTAGGGAGTACGTTAGTGGTGCCCTGTCATCTGCAAAACCTTCTGAGTCGACCTCATGAGATTCACTCCGCCTATGCAATAGTGAGCATTTTAGGGTCTGAGTCAAGACTTGAGCTCCAGGCTTCCTCAGAGATGCTGGGGGGCGGGGGGCACTTGGTGGGGAAGGGGACATCTTCAGTGGAGACTGAAGGCACAGGGCAAGGGTCCCTGACCTGTTTCTCCTCACGCCTAAAACATCTACAGCATCTGAAGGGAGGACAGACTCCAGCAGGCCCCTGAGGGGACCATTTCCTGTCCCTCCTTTTCAGGACAGAGCAGGGCACTCAGTGCCTCGCTCCCACACAGCGGTTCTCTGAGCGGGCCTGCTGTCTAGGAAGATGACCCGCCTACACCCCAGCAGCCCTTGCGGCCCCTCTGCCAGTGGCATGCATGTCAGCACGGCCCCCACCATCAAATGGGAGAAACTAAGGACCCGACTCGGGGGAGTGCAGGTAGCGGGGAAAATGTTCCAGAGTGGCTCAGGGCAGCACCAAGAATAGCACGGGAGGCAGTGGCCCCTGACCTGCCTCTGGGGAGGCCCTGCACAGAAGCCTCGCTGTTAGCACAGATACTGCCCTGTTTGTTCTGCAGCCGCGGGAAATGCTTAGGGGTTGAGATCATAGTGCTCCACAGCCTAAGCTGAGCTGGGCCCTCCACGGGCTTAGGGCAGCTCTGCTGCCAGATGCTGACCAGGCTGCCCGGGGCCTTGTGACTGGGGCAGCTTCCTGCGCAGAGTGCCAGACTGTGGCTCCACGAGGGTTCCCAGGACGGGGCTCTAGATCTGTGTTTGCCCTTTCCCAAGTCACAGCAGAAGTGGGGGAGGGGGCAGAGGCTGGCATCACCCCACTTGCCAGCTGTCACCGCTCTCTCACCCCAGGTACTCAGCTCAACACCTCTTGCCCAAGCCCTAGCTGGGTTTTGGGGCTCTGCTCCCTGGGGAGACCGCTCTCTCCCATCAGGACCTCCCCAGGGCAGAGTCCCAGGGTGTGCACGTACTTGGAGAGAAGGATAATGCAGTTCTGGGCCCTTCGGCCATCGATGACCGACAGCTCTTTGACCTTGCGGGAGGCCAGGTAGATGTCCTCGGTGGAGCCCAGCTCTTTCTGCAAACAAGGAGCCACAAAGAGGCATGGGGGGTGGGGACCCCCAGTCCTCCATTTTCCCACCCACAGGAACGTCCCCTCTGCCAATCTAGGGTATGCTCTTGATCAGGGAGTGTGACAGAAAGCAAGGGACAAAAGAGGAGAGGAGGGTATTAACAACTGACTCTCACGGGTAGGACCTGGGGCTTTATCAGGGGCTGGAGATGCACAGGGTCTGCATGCAGAGCCCAGGGTTAGAGGTCAGACTGTCAGCCCCCGGGAAGCAGCTGGTGGATGCAGAAGGTGTGACTGACCCTGTGGCAGCTGCAGGGCCACATGGCCCACCATGTCCCCACAGGATGGACTCTCACTGCCTCCGCCCGGGGCCTCCCAGGCTCAGGATGAGACATTGGTCCAAATCCTGTAAGGTCACAGTTCCTCATGCCCGGGGACTTCAAGTACCGTGTGCCCGAGGTAGAGAGCATCCACAGGGTCAAAAGGGGAAATCGAGGCAGAATTACACCCAGAGTTCCCCTCTCTGGGGTACAGCTGACAGATTCTCAGGAACACCATGATTATACCCCCCTTTCTCTTGGGGCCCTGGTGATGGAGGCAGGGGGTGGGAAGCACAGTGCCATCCCTCGAGGCACGTCTGCCAAGCCCATGCTCCACACTGCACAACTCTAGCCCACCACCCGCATCACCATCTTCCTGAATTGTGCAGTGCCTAACCTGAGCAGCCTTACAGAATGCCATGCCTTAGCCTGGTGGGTAAGATCAGAGCTCTAGAAGCTTCTGCCACTCTATCCTGCCCTATGGGCAGGATGAGCCAGAAGGCAGGAGGTGACATGGACAGGCCCTCTCTGTGGGGCCCCGGCTGAGAGTTGGAAGTTTCAGAGCCCGGAGTGACTCACCTGCTGGGGAGGGTTAGTTATCAGCTCCTAGGCAGGCAGCAGCCACAGCCGACAGAGAATCAAACATGCACAACGTTAGTCAAAGGCTCAGGGACTGGGAACAGCGGGACGGACTTGGGGATCCTCAGCATCCACTCCATGCATCTTGACCCCGTGGAACCCCATGCTTGGAGACGGGAACCCCAAAGCCGTAATGTGCTCACAGAGAAGCCAAACAAGCAGAGGGCAGCCAGTTCTTCCTGTGTACCTGAACCTGAGGCACCCCAACGGACCTCAGTGTCCGCACCCCACTCCCTGCCTGCCTGTCCTTCCTCCCCTCTGCTGAGACCCGGTCTGAAGAGACAGAAGGGAGGAGGAGAGGCCTGCTCTCGAGGACAGGAAAAGCAGGCGTCCCGAGTTTGTGCCTCACCCTCCTCTGTCCTGCGACATTTTGGGAGCTGAGTAGCCAGCCTGCTCTGTGTCCTCCCTTCCGGAGGACAAGGGAGTTACATCAGCTCAGAACCTGCTTCGGGCACGGGGCTAAGGCTGTGGTTCCCAGGACCTCTAGTCCAGAGCCCCAGGATGGGATGAGGAGGTGACCAGCAGAATGCCACCCTGGGGTCTCCCCTGCTCTGCTGCTGTGGCTTCAGTCCCCAAAACAGGGCAGACTTCATGCCCTGCAGAGTGGGCCCAGCAAGGACCGGCAGGGGTCTTTTGATCTTGGCTCTTTGCTCAGCAAGCTGGCAGAGAGCCCTGGCCTGGCCTGGCCTGGCCTGGCCTAAACCCTCCCTCCCATTCTTTCCCAACTTCCCCCATCCCTGCCCTGTGGACTGGATAAGACAGGCCAGAAATATAGCCTGGAGGGAGACTTGAACTACAGGGAGACAAGTGACCACCATGCTGGAGCCAGCCCTGCGCCTGTTCCCCTGTCCCCAAGCCCCAGGCTCTGGCTCCGAGAAGCACAAGACTACAAAAGTCTGCCAGCTCCAGAGCCTCCATGGGGGCTGGGGCGGCCACACCAGCCCCAGCACAGGCGAGGGTTACACTGCCTCCTGGAATTAGGAGCAGAGAATCAGAGACCTCCAACACCCACACTGAAATCTGTTTGGGCTGGAGATGTAGTCCCGTGGGTTCCTTGGCCCCGACTGTCCTTGGGAAAGGGTCATCCATAGGTCTGGACTTGGGAAAACGGGGGCAGGGCATCCCTCCTGGGGCTCACCACTGACCCTGGAGTCCTGGGCAGGAGCCCAGGCTGGGGATATGTGAGTTAGTCTCAGGTTCCTGGGCTCAAACCCACCCTAGAATCCTATCAGAATGTGAAGCAAAGCCCCGAGACTCAGCGTAGGTCCTTGGCACAGTTTGAGAGCCATGCCAAAGGAATGTCCTGCTTTCTGCCACCAGCCCAAGCCCCAACCCGCACTGGCACTGCAGGGACAGACTCATGGACCAGGCACCTGTACATAGTGCCTGCGAGGTAGACTGAGGCCTCCCTGGCCCCTCAGGGCCCTGCCCCAGCCTCACCCACTGACTGACAAGGAGCAGTGACCCCCAATCTCCTTATGCCATGAGCACCTCTGCTCGACAGGCCAGTGGGGGTGGGAGAGGGGAGAAGGGCGGAAGACATGGATTGAAGAGTCATAATGCTCCCGGGTGTCATCTCTAAGGCCAAAGGCAGCAGGGGACAGTGGGGCCGGGCCTTGTGAGGCCACCTCCAGTGCTCTGGGACATGAGAGAGATGTGGACGGAGCACAATTTCATCAGTGGCTAGGGGAACATAAACTGTAATGCACAGTGAGACTGCACTGCAGGGCTCCGCGGGGTGTGGCGCCCCACAGAGAACGGAACTGTTCAGTTTCTGTGCAGAGAAGGGAAGGGGGGGGGGCACGGGACACGACCGGGGGAGGAAGGAAAGAGCTGAGGTTCGAGCTCAAGGGGTTTGGTGTGTGGAAGTCAAGAGCCAAGCACCAGAGGGGGCCAGGTCTTACCTGATGCCTCTGATAGGCTGAAAACATTTTTTCAAAATCCTCTAGGTCCAGAATCCGGAATACCTGCGTGTCATCAATCTCATTCCATACGGTACCGGGGACCCGCTCCTGCAATTCCGGGTACACAGAAAACCCACAGTTGAGTCAGTTCCTTTTTTACAGAGATGCCCTGTGCTCTCTTAACCTCAGCTGTGCCCTGACAGCATGTACGACAATGGCCAGGCTTTTAGACCTCCAGAAAGAAGCTGGATTCCCCTGCTCCAAACCTCTGCCTGTCTGCAATACTCCGCTCTAGGAGAGAGGCCGAGGCAGCTTCCTTCTCTCCCTTTTCACCTGGGCCGCTCGGAACCACGCCCCAGAATCACTGAGGTGCTGAGCAGTGGGTGTGCGGGGAGGAAAAGGGACCCGCTGTGCTCCTTCCAGAAAAGCAAGAGCTAAGCAATGCTCCCCACACTCCCCGCTGGCCAGGAAGGCCAGTTCTGTAAAGGACCCTGCGGGTGCTGCGCCATGACCATCCCCGGCTGGACCCACACATATTCGGGGCCCTCCAAGCCCCTGCATTTCCTGCACTGAAGACACTCATTTTCTTTCCCAGAGCCTTCTCGTGCTTTCCCAGATCCCCGGGAAGTAGGATCAATGCCAAAGGTCAGGACGGCCCAGCCCCTGGAGTGATCTGCTCAGCCCAGCAGGATGCTGGCACAACTTCCTGCGGGTCACATGGGGAGGGCAGCGCCATCCTTCATGCCAGGAGGGGCACAGGGCTTCACACGGCGAGGATGCTCCACAGACAGCACATTTGCACTTCTGTCTGTGGAGAGGTCGTTAGTGAGCCAAGCGCCTCAGAGCTCTAACTGACAGCCTGCTGATAGCTCAGAGGACAAGATGACTGTGGGCTAAGAGCGCTGCCCCTCCCAGGATCTCCTCTCTTCCAGAGCTTCTCTGCAGGGGCAGCCAGGGGACCTTCTCCACGCCGCCACCTCCTCTGCATCTCCCCCTCAGACGCCTTGCACAGGGGAGCATACCTTTCACTCACTTTTATTTTCTTAAACTCTGAAAACGGGAGGCTAGGCCAGAGTCAGGGGGTGGGGACATTCCTGTGGCCTTCCGAAGGCCAGGGACCCTCGTGTGGAATGCCGGGCTGGGAAGCTCAGAGCAGTAAAGGATACAGGCAACTGGCCAAACCCAACACAGACACATTCTTCACGAGGCAGAAACCACCATTCTGAGCGCATGCGCCTGTGTCCGCGTGCGCATGCATGTGCATGTGTGTGTGTGTGTGTGTGGACATGCATGTGTAAAGGAGCACATGTGGGATAGAGGGAGGGGCCTGGGGAGGCGGCTGGGCCCCAGGAAATGGGGACATGGGAGACAGAGGCGGGATGGGATGGGGACATGAATGAGCAGGAGGTGTCACGTGCCCCAGAGTCCCCTGCATGCGGATCCGCCATGTAAATCTGGGCAGGAGGTGTGAGGTGCAGGCTCAGAGGCAAAGCTGCCTATCCTCGTCCTTCTTAGAGGGGCAGGGAAAGGGAGGGGCAGGACGAACCTCCACGAGACAACACGGGTCCTTTCCAAGACAACTCTCACGCCTTCTCCTACACCTCCTGCCCCGCCCCCAGCACGCTGGCTCCAGCCCAAAGAAGAATGTGGGGCCTCTTCCCCACGCTCACCACATCCTAACTCCTACCACGGCGCTCTGGGTGCCCACCTTAATAATTCTCGATCTGAGTTTCTTCACTACTCTGGCCAAGACTCTGTGCTTACCTACCAGGGAAATCTTTCTCGGGGACATACGTCATGCCATTTCCCCCACAGAGCACTCACGGCCTTGGGGGTCAGGCAGCTCACCTGCCGGCATCGCCAGCCCTGCCTTGATGGGCTGTGGACAATGCCCCTTGTGGCATGAAAGGAAACTGAGTCTCAGGGATGCTTGCATCACTGTGACGAGGATTAAGGTAATACTCAGGGCACATGTGGTGATGCCACTAACAGCCACTAATTTAGTAGCATTGCTGAGATTTTCTCCGTGTTAGTCTCTGTTCCAAAGGCTTTATGGCTACAGACATTCCTTATTTAATAGCTGAGTTTTTGGTCCTGCAACTAGGTCATTAAATGAATTTTCATTAAATGAGGAATTGCATCTAGTATGTACATTGCAATATTTAGAACAAAGACACAGTCAAAGGAAACTCCAGCCTGGTGACTTTGCTTGTATTTGCATAACTCTTACATGCAATGCTGTCATATAAAACAGAACACAAAACTCCAGTACCTTACGCCACAGTACCACCAGCAAAACTTAGAGTACTGTATGAACAGGTGTAGTGTACAACCAAAGACAGCAAGGCTCTATAAACAAGGCAGACAGAACTGTACAAAAATAGGGAGGGTCCAAGTCCAAGTAGCGGGTCCCAAGTCCAAACAGGATGCCTCAGGGCTAATTCTAAATGGTCATTAAATAGGTCGCTAAACAAGGAATTATCTGTATTCAGCCAGGCAATCCCCACAACCATCTTTTGAGATCAATATTATCATTATCCCCATTTCACAGATAAGAAGCCCACACAATGAAATAACTCACTCTCGCCACCCCCTTGGGATGGAATACAGGTTTTCAAATCTGAGTTCTCCTCTCCCCCTCTCCTGCCCCAATCTACAATTTCTACCAATGTTCCCCACTGTCTAATCCATCAAAACGCCATTCCCAGGTGAGGAATAACACCCTTGCCACCTCTGGGTCCTTAGGGACTCCTGGGGACAATCCTAAGCTCAGAGCTCCGTATAGGAAGCCGTCATAGAATTATTAGCTACCACCGCGGTCGCTGCATACCTCACAGTACGACCTCTCCTCATTTTTAGAACCTTCGTGACAGAAGCTACACACTTTCTTTTTTTTAACCACAGTAAAAATAACATCATTTCTGTTCACAAACGACCTTGCTGCACAGCCTGGGGCTTCTGGCTCTGGGAGTGGTGAGCCTGCCCATGCACCACTGGGCTGTCAGCCACGCAGCAGCGCCCAGAGGGCACAGCTGTGCGTGCAGTTGCCGCGGGCTCTATCTTGCTTTGAATTGCTGCTCCCAGCTGCCTCTCAAGCTGCCATAACCCAGACTGGAGATGTTTTCAGAGGCCCCAGAGACTGTGAATGAGATGTATTCATCCTCCACGATTCCGCCCCATCACGCAGACAGGTGGAAACAATCTTGGAGATGCCTCCAGGAGAGAGGGAGCCGAATGGCTTACACTACACAGGTTTGGCTGGAGGTTAGAAGCTCCCCTGCAGCCCCTGCCCTGGGTCTCTAGGTGTTTCCTGACCACACCACCTAGCTGCTCAATCCTAAACTCTCCCAGCGGGGCAGCAGCATCCCCTGACTTCTCTGTTACCCAGCACAGCCCTGCAGAAGCTGACTGCCATGCCCCACCACCAGAGGGCGGTATCTCATACACAGCAGACCACCTGCTCAGCAATGCCCCTACACACCTACCTACCAGCCTTGCGCTCACCGAAATCCACCTGCAAGATAAGGTATGAATTTCCCACGAGTGAGTCCAAAGGGCCACATATCAGGGTCTGAACACATCCCCGAGCCTCAGGTCTGCACAGCTGTGCCTGGAGTGTGTGTGTGGATCAGGCCAACTGAAACCCCATTGCAATGGATTTCTCTGCAGAGACGAAGCCACCATTCCCGCAAGCAGGAACTACTATCATCCAGACCCAGGGATAAGGCTCGGTACAGGGCGTTCCAGTACTAGCCATCCACCGAGACTCAGGGCTTCTCTACGCTCACGAGAGTCCAAGACAGGAACCAGCCCCTCACGTGAGCCTGGTCTGGTGATTATCTGCACAATACTCAGATTATCTCCTACTGCTCTGGCCGAGAGCTGCACGCAGCCCTGGACACCCAGTAACACAGCCCCACAGTAATCATAACCCTTTCACATGGCTAGGATTTTTAGGGTGATCTTTGAGGACTTAATTGCAGGTGCTGGAGCAGAGACCACAAAGCTAACCAAGAGAGGCTGGGCAGAGGAAGGAGTCACACAGGGCTAAGCCCATCTCCTGTGCCCAGCACACGCGGCCAGGTGTATTGGAAGCCACAGGTACCAGTTTAACGTGCCCCGCCACACATGCGGAGAGGCTGGACAACTTAACCAAAAACACAGCCATGACTGAGAATAGTATTTCGACTGACCTACAGGTGTGTGTGCCGGCGAAGACAGCCCTTTATTGTTATTAGATGGATGTGTAACTTTGCTTATTTAATTGTTAAACTTCAGATTGCTGTGTTATTTGGTTAAAAAAAAAAAAAAGCTAAGTTAAAAGACCAAAAACCAAATTGCTGGGAGCTATATAGATGAACTATGTTGTATTATACATTCAGCTCAAGACAGTCAATCTTCATGCCAGGAAGCCGAGAGAGGGACCCTCATGCCAATGTGTGTGACCCTCCACGCACACACACGAGGTTGCTACATGGCTGCATCTTCCAAGTCTCTTGTACACACACCCTGGTCTTCACCCAGACGTGGAACCCAGCCCAAGCTCTTTGCCTGAACTATCTGCTCTGTCCTTCAATCGGGCCTCTCCTTGCAACTCTAGCTGACCCTGTCTTCTTTTGTTGGGCAGTGTTAGTCACACAGCCTTGGCTGGTGTAGGGCACACCTTGCCCCAGGCTCTGACATACGCTGCTCTGCCCACCTCCAGCACACACAAGTGCCACCTGCAGAGGGCTCCACCCACAGGAGCATAACCGCCATGTGCCAAGGGACTTTCCAGGTGTGGATGCTGTCCCCCGGGCAGCTGACTTAGCTCAGATGTCCGTAACTGCCCTCACCACCCCGCCCAGGACGGCACAGGGAGGAGACCAGTGCCACCATCCCTGTGCCATCCTGGCCACTCACCTCATTCAGCTTGACCCAGTTGAAAGACTTCAGCGGGTGGGAAGGCTGCGGGATCCGCTTTTTCCTGAGTGGGACGTTGCTGCTGGGGAAGGGATCCTGAGGCGGGGGCGGGCTGAGGCCGAAGCAAGGCGGGGCGCCCGGGGGAGTGGGGGGCCCACCGGGCGGAAGGGGCGGCGGGGGCGGCGGGGAGCAGCAGCCGGAGAAGGGGAGAGGGGGTGGGGGCGGAGGCAGGTCATCGGTTGTCAGGGTCACAGAAGAGGACGAGGGAAGCGGGCCTCCAGGGGGAGGCGGGGCAGATACAGGGCCTGTCTGCCAGGAGACACAAAATCAGAAAGACGGGCCATCAGCGTGAACCCCAACAGCTCGCCCCCGCCTCATTCCTGTTTTCTTCTTCTCCACCATCTACACAAGAGCCCTGATTATCCGCCACCTCCCACTCCATCCTTCTCTCCACACGGTGAGATGCCAAGCCACAGGCAGACACACACAGATGCACACAGACATCCGACAGTCCGAGTCGCTGTCATCCCTGGACCCCACGATGGGGACACACAGTCGGACAGGCCACCCCCTCCCCACCCCATTCTGCAGCCCAGGGCTCTGCTGAGCTACATAAAGCAGTGGCCGGGTGGGGTCCACATACTGAAAGTTCACTGAGTTGTGCCACCAGCTCTGCCACTTGTCCCCGAGCCTGGCGCAGCTCCTGGGACTCTCGGGCCAGCTTGTCCTTCATCTTGTTCAGGGTCCGCATCATCTCTTCCTTCTCCAGAGTCTTCATCTCGCACTCCCGCTCCTTCCTCTCCAACCGGCTCACGAGCTCCAGGTGCTCTGGGAGGGCAGAAGGTGACCTGGGTCCCTACTCGGGGGCAGGCGTGGGGTGCACACGTGTTGGGGGGGCTGCTCACCTTTCCGGGATTTCTCTGCCTGCTCTCTCCACTGTTTGACCTCATTCTCATTGACGAGCCTGGGGACAGAAGATGGGAAGGTCAATGTGGCTGTCAGCTGGCCATTGGGTGGACACTTTTGGAAGACAGCTCCATGCTGGGGTTGGACCGTGGTCTCCAATCTGTGCGGTCGTGCCCAGAAGAGTCGCATTTGGACAGCTCAGATGTCTCTCCAGGTCTCACTCCTGCCCAGCTCTTATTATGTGTCCCCTTGAACCATGAGAGCAGAAGGGACCCTGGGCCACCTTGATCTAAGCCCTTTGTGCTACAGTTGAAGCTACTGAGGCTCGGGGACCAGAAGGGGCTGAGACCCCATTAATGGCAGCACAAGGACTGAATCCCAAGTTTCCCTAAGTTGTACAAACTCTTATGCCCCTTTGTGAAAACAGATCTATGCATCTGGGAGAGAGAAATACCAGCCTCACCAGAGCCTGGGCTTCCAGAGACCAGTGGATAAGATCCAGAGAAACTGCAGAGACCCACCGACCCAGAGGGAGGGGCTGAGGGGAGGCGAACTGTTGGAAAGTGTCAGACTCCTGTAAGAAGTTAAACCTCTGACCCACACCAGGGTGTCCCAAGGGGAAAATCTCAAGGTGAGATTCCGCAGGACCATTTCTTTTGTAAATGTGATGGTTTAGATCCGTGACTTTTAACCTCAACCAAATCAAGGGTATAAAGAGGGGACAGGAGATGGAGACAGGGGAGGACTCAGTGCTGAAGTTTCTTTGGAGGGAGCCCCAGCCCTGGAGGGAGCCACATCCTTCAACCCCGTGCAAGCAAGGGCTTTCTTTGGTCCTTCCTGGAGTTTTAACCCAGGTTCCCTGGCTCTGGGAAGAAGGAAGGTTAGATTATGGTCCCACTCAGGGCCTGGAACATCCAGAGGGTGAGGAAGGACAGGTGAGGACAGCACTGCTGTGTGGGATTGGCCACACTCCTGGTTTGAAAGCACGAGTGGGCCTGCGAGAGTTGCCCACAGATATGATGCCAACATCATGGCGGAAATGGGGTGGACCAATTGGGAGTCCGTCCCAGGGACATCAACATGTGGTGGGTGTGTAAAGGTCTACCAGGGAGCCAGGGCCTGGCAGGAGGGCAGGCAGCGGCCAGCCAGCTCCATGAGTAGCACCCGTGAGCTGGCACCCAGCATAGAACTTGTAAAGATCCCAGGAGCACAGCCATGTGTACCCACATGGGGCACCCAGAGAGCAGAAACCCTGACAGTAATTCAGACCTCGTCCTCCACCCTTCCTGGCCCAGGATACCTCTGAAAGAGGCCCAAACCTGGTGGGTCAGTAGAAAGGAAGCTGGGAGGCAGATGGGGCAGGAAGAAACTAGAGCAGAGAAACAAAGCCAATCCGAGCACACACTGTACATGAGTGTCCTTCCGGTTCGAGCCTGCTGGCCCCGGCCAGTGGAGGAGAGAGGTGAGGCCTTGAACGCTGACCCACACCTGCTCCCTGCCCTCCTGGTCACAGCAGCTTCACGTCATCAGGGAAATTCTTGCCATCGAGGAACAAAATCTGCATCGGACCTGAGAGCTGTCAGTCTCTGCTGGCTGAAAAAGTTTCTCTTCACATAGTATAGTTTGTAGACAATAAAACTGAGTGGTCTTGTGGTTACTACACTAATTGCACTGTATGAAAGTGTGTAAATCCCTTCAGCCCCCAGGCAGTGGGCAGAGCTGAGAATATGCCCTGTATACTTACCTGTCCTTACTGTGTGAGCCTCTCTGGCCACCTGTCACGTTGCTACTCAAATTTAAATGAAATGTAATTCCCAATTCAGTTCCTCGGTCCCACTAAGAACATGCCACATTTGGCTACCACACTGCACAGCGTCCAAAGGGGGCATTTCCATGCTTAAGAGTTGCACCGCAGGCCAGTGCTGCTCGAGACCCTTTGGGGACTTCCGGGCGAGAGCACTGAGGTGTCCCCATGGAGACCCAGAGTGGCGGGTGGATGCAAACGGGCAGAGGGCAGTCCGAGGCCGGCCACTACTCACATGTTGACGATGTTCTTCACGTTGAAGTTCTCCAGCGGGGCCAGGTCGGGGTCCACACCCCGCTCGTCCTGGAGGACGATCTGCTGGATGATTCGATCCAGGAGCTGCCACTGCTGGAAGTAGCCACCATTCCGCTTGTCTGAGGGACAACAGGTGTCATAGCTGGACTGAGCTTGGGAGCCCCAGAAGCCCTGCCCCGGCGCGACGTCCAGGCTTGGTGGGCGGGACTCCATGCCCTTCCCCTTGGGTAGGAAGCTCCCAGTCTGATGGAAGAGGCGATGCACCTCCTAATAACGAGGCTCAAAAATCCAGCCAACTCCTCATCACCCGCAGCCGACCTTCTCTGAATGCGTCAGCCCTTCTAACGGTATTTGTTTACTCCACCAGCGCCTCCTGGCTGCCTTTCTTCCCTGTGGGGACCCTGGACATAGTATGTTCTGGAAATGCAAACTGATTTTTCCCATTATCTATAAAATGCACCTGTTCTAAAATACTACACGTCTAATAATGAAGTCTTCGGGGAAATTCCTTAAGGAAGATTTCAGGATTATCGATGTTACTGCTCCACAGAAAAGATGAATGGGGACTGATTACAGATGCTCACTGAGAGGACAGCAAAATGAGTTAAAGCCGTGGTTAACAGAAACCCAGAAACCAAGATTTCTTGAGGGAGGTGACTTTGTGCTGGGTAGACAAAGGCGTTGTGTGCTGTGCCTTGTCCTCTGTAACCACAGCCTGGCTCCCCTTCTTCCTCCTCCCCCCTCCCTAACCCTCTCCCCTCCCTCTGCCTGGCACAGAAATAGCTGGGAGCAAAAAAAGTGAGGTCCCCCAGCTCCCCCCAGGTCCCCCACAGAGACTCCTGGACTGAATTTTGCAGAATGACAGCTCCCCGGTCCAGCTTGTACTGTATTTCTGCCCATGGTGCCATCAACACAGGCACTGCTAAGTGGCAGAGCTGTCTAGGTTCTTGCAACCAGGTAAACACGGCAAGCTCGCAGAGATGGAACGTGTGGCACCCAAAGCCCAAGAAACAGGAAATTCCTTCTGTAGCTAAAGAACTCATTCAGCCTGCAGGACGGAGCTGGGAATGTATACTGTTCTGTCACTGTGAGGTGCACAGATGACCTTTACGTAATGCGTCCCTCGGGTGTCGATAATGTAAGCCTCACCTTGGGGTTCTGGGGCCCCAGTGATAAAAAGTGATGAGCAGCAGGTGTGGAGAACAGGAGGGAGAAGACCCTTCCCTGTCCACTGAGCCCCACAGGTGGCACACAGTGAACGGAAGCTACTGTCACCACCACCACCACCACCATTTTGGGCAGCTGGATGAGGCTGACTGTTTGGAAGGACCACATGAATTTTCAAAATGTTCTGTTTTGTGGGGCACTAACGTACTAAACGCTGCAGTGACGGCTGCCTTCCAATTGCATTCTGGGTAGTTATTAGCAAGTACGTGTTATGGATTCAAGCACTGTGCTCACCTACATATGAAGAGCTTAACCTCCTGCTCCCAGGAGGCTACTAGTGTTTGCAGAGACACAGATGCATGAATGTTAGGGCGAGGATCTGCAAGGACTAGATGCAAGAGTTGATAAAACGTATCTCACACACACACACACACACAGCAAGCTCGCTGCATATCCGGGCTCCTTCCTTAACTGTGAAACCTCTTTTTGGAATTAACAAAGGGACTTTCTGGAAAGCTGATGCAGGTGACAGTGGGTGTCCTGACCCCAAAAGGGAGAGGTTGAGTCACTGGGCCTGGGCTCCTGAAGACAATGCAGAGCAAGGCAGGGCAGACTCCCCAGCCCAGAGAGGTCCCCCAAGCTTCGTCTCCGCCTGCCCTGAGCCGGGCTCAGTGCTCGAGCGAGGGCAGCAGGGAGGCGGGGTACTCACAGGGCATCTGCAGACAGTGGTGCAGGACAGACAGCAGGCAGGGGTAGGCCTCCGTGTGCCTCAGCTTCTTGTGGATCAGCTCAAACATCTGGGAGGCGCTCTTGGTGTCAATGTGGACCTGAAGGAGAAGGGCCTCGGTGAGTGGGTGGGTGGGGGGGTGGGGGGAGAAAACTGCATCTCTGTCACCAAGCCCCTCTCCTGGGAGAGCTTCTCCTCCCCTGCCTCTGGGCCAGGCTTCAAAGGGGAAAGATGGAGAAGAGGAGAGGGGAGGGGAAAGGAGAGGAGAGGAGAGGAGCGGTGGGGAGGGAGGGGTGGAACATAAACTAGGCTTTCTATTTTGGGTACTTTTGGCACCTCGGGTCAAACAACTCTGCTTGCAGGGGTCACCTTTGCACTGTAAGATGTTTGCCAACATCTGTGGCCTCCACCTACAGAGGCACCCTGCCCTTTGCTCCTGCCCCACCCCCAAGTGTGTATCCAAAATGTCCCCAGCTTTGGTAGATGTCCCCTCATAGGGGCAGTGAAAGCACCTGTGGCTGAGAACTACTGAGTCCATCTAAGGGGAAGGACCGGGAGGGCAGATGCTCCAGAGTAGCACACGGCCTTGACACAGGTCCAGAACCCGAGTTCCAGTCCCACATTTGCTCTCAAGTGACAACCAGCGGGCCATGCATCCTCTCTAACCCTACTGCTAAGTCATGGACTGAGGCTTTGGCAAGGGAGCGATGGGGTGGTGCTTGGTTCTGGATGCTCCACCCAAGAGGCGGCTCCTGTCTGGGGAGGATTTCATAACACAGTGTTTAACAGTGGTGGTGGTTTCGGGATTGCTAAGGTAAAAATGAAAATAAAATCTGCTTTGCTGAGTATGATCTGGTTAGGGCTGGAGAGCAGGATGCAGGACATTGACAGAAGGCAGGAAAAGCGGCCCAGGAGAGGCCCAGAGGCAAACCATGTGCAAGAGCTGGCTCTTTTCTCTGTGGGGTTTGGGGCTGAGCCAGCACCGCGCCAGTGCTCCAGAGACAGGACCTAACAATAAGGACCCCGCTGACACTGAACACACCCCCACACCAGACCCGGGGGCAGGACCACAGGGCCACCTGGGACTCCAGGGCCATCACCCCACCCCACAGACTCCTCACCATGTCAAACCTCCGGGCCAGCTCCAGGTCATCCTCATTCCGGACCATCTCAAAGAAGTCTAAATGCCTAGACAGGGTGGAGAGGACAGAGAGAGGTCACTGCCAGAGCCCCCGTGGGTTAGGGTCAAGATCCCTTCCACTCTAGCTAGATCTGAATGCTTCATTCAGGTGAGTCTAAGGCAAAACCAGACAGAAGCCACCCGTCTATAGGCCAGCACCGTCCTCGGCTTTGAAGAGTGTGTGACCCGCCTTCCCCAGCCCTGTCGCCACAGATCTGCACTGCTTGACTCTGACATGATGGCATTTTAGGCTCAGCCCTCCTGGGCTGTGAGAGGTTGGTGTGTGCACTGGGGAATGTTTAACAGCACACATGGTCTATTGGCGCTACATGCCAATAGAATCTGCTCCTCTAAATGTGACAGCCAGGACGTCCCGAGAAATTGCCAAGTGTCTCCCAGGGGATGGAATCACCCATCAAGATTGCTCTCCAACCTCTCTCCTTCCACGTCCTCTCTCTCTCCTCTTCTCTCTCTCTCCCTCTCCCTCCTTCCCTCCCTCTCATTTTCTAGCCACAACAACACACAGACCTGCTCCATCTCAACAGGATCCGTGCTCTGTTCCTTAAAACCCCAGGTAATGGGACATCTTATGCTAATGGGGTGCGAGGAGAGGAGAGGGGCTCGCTGGTGACACACGAAGTTTAATGATGCCCCCATCAGCAAGGGCTTGGCAGCACGCCTTTGGGGTGGGCTATTGCCATGTCAAGCAGATGTCCAGTGGGGGTATTGAACATTCTTATCTCCAGACAACCATGGCACAGTGTCCCCCAGAAATCACTTTGAAAGACAAAGGACACCCCAACATTTTCCAAATGTCCCCAGAGGGCAAAGCCGCTTCAGATAAGTGCTGTGTTCAGCTCTTTATCACCTGGGCCCTGAGACCAGCAGGTCAGCAGAGGACATGCCTGTCCCCACGGAGCTGATTCCATACCTGCACTGGGTGTGGCGTGCAGTCCTCACAGGAAGGAGAAGTTGGGGACCCACCCGGTGGCCGAGATCTTACCTGTCCAGGATGGCGTTCTCATGTTGCCGGAGTTTGTCGATCACAGGCTGGATCCCCAGCATCAGGAACTCATACCGCAGATGGAGCCGGAATTCTAGGTTATCCTGCGGTAAGCAAGGGAGGACCAGACTCCGTGGGGTGGCCTCGGTCCCCAAGAGTGACCCATGGAGCCCCCATCACCACCGCAGCCAGAGTCCCACATCACCTGTAGCAAACGCGCTGAGAGCCGCTTAAAGCCTCACAATGGCAGGTGAGGACAGGAGATGGAAATGGCCTTGACCTTGCTGACCCTCAGAGCAAGCCCACTGTCCACTCCTCTTAGGGCCTCTGCCTCGGTCCTTCTAAGCCCTCACCACAGCTCTCTTGGCTCTGGTCTCCAAGAGCAGCTTTGTGAAGTGCCATGGAGCAGGAGCTTCAATGTCAGGCAAGTCCTGCCTAAGTCCAGTTCTGTCTCAGAATCTGACTTCCGTGGTCTTGGCAAAGCCTCAGTTTCCTTATTCATAAAATGGGCACCCAACTTACCAGTGGGGATGATGGTCACGAAAATTATCCAATGCCGTACAACTACCATCGGCAGTTGGTAGTTGATTAGAGCGGATGTCAGCCAAAAAGAGTTGGCAGGGACCAAAGTGATATCAGCGTCTCAGGGACAGGTTATTCTCCTGGTCAGTTTGTGTGGAGTGCAAAACAAAATGTGTGCTGACAGCATACGGGGAAAGATAGGGGTCACCTTTGTTTTTCTGGTTGACCTTAACTGGGGCACCTGACTGCCTGAAGAGTTTGGGGTGTTTATATTCTGCTCTTTGAGTTCTTCTAACGTTGCTATTTTGATGGTCTAAGAATCCAGTCTTCATCCCATGGAAAAGCCATGCCTTCCTAAGAGACAGTGCTAGAGGTCTGCCACCAACTGACCCAGAAAATGTCCAGATTCGAGTCTCCAGAAAGCTCTAGAAAAAGGTCTAAAACCTTGCCTTCTACCCTGATCAGCCAGGCCTCCCAGGGATCTGCCGTGATTCTGCAACCAGCACCGCTCCTCACAGCCTACATCCACCACCCAGGAAATGCTCGGTTTCAGTTAGAACATGCCGTGCGGCCTCCGGAGGAACCTCAAGAGCCTCCCAGGTCAGGTAAAGCAGACAGGATGTTGTAGGCAAACAAAGTCAGGATGTGTCCTTGCCACAGCTAGGAAGAGCTGCAGACTATAGGTTACATGCAGTTCTGGGCTGGGTGACACACTGTGACCCTCGTGACAGCAGGACCCAAGGGAACGATGCAAAAGGTCCTAAAAATAATTTGAAGATGACAAGATACACTAACCAGATGCTTCGGCTCTTTTCCCTGCCACTTATCCAGGAAGAGCACATGTGCACACACACACGTGCATACACGCACACACACCAGGTCCGTGGACAGCAAGATAAGCAAAGGGGCCTCACCTCTCCAGCGCCAGCATTGAGGACAGCGTTGATAAAGGACATGATGGCTGTTTTCAGGTTCACTTCGTCCCGGTACCGGCCCAAACTTCTGTCCAGCTCGTTCAGCAGAGTCTGGATTGGGAAGGCCGCACAGGGTGAGGTTCAGGACTCTAAAACCCAGCTTCTAGTCCTTCGCCAGTGTCATCCCGACTACCCAGGGGCCCTGTCCTTTGTCCACCTGCATGTGTCTCTCCAGTATTTTGGGCCACACCTCTGGGAGCCACCACCACAGCCTGGCCACACCGCAGACTCAGCCCAGCGCCGGCCAGGGCTATGTTCCTACTGTGGGGCGGTGCTGCTTTCTACCCGCTCCGGCTGGACCCCTGAGCATCCCCTGCCAGCTCCCCATCATCCCTTTTCACCTCTGCAAAGGGTCGGGACCACACGGCATGCAGCAAGCACTCACACATGTTGGATTGTAGAATAAACAAAGCGCCTGCCCTGGTACCTAAACATAGACTTCGGGACCAACTCACATCTACTGAGGGCCTCCGTGGAGGGCCTAAGACACTGTACTGGCTATTTCAGTGGCACTGTTCTAGCAGGTCAGAAAAAGGAAAAGAGGATAGCATGGCTGGAGGTCCCAGGGCTGACCCCCCACTGTCCCAGCACTGGGTCCTGGCCCAGGCTTTGGTCCTAAAACCTTGACCCCAGCGATTACACTCAATTCAACAAGCCTTGACTGAGGCCTTACCAAGAACTGGATGCTGGCTCAGAAATGTAGAGCTGTGAAAATTGAAGCAAACCAACATTCCAGGCTCTGGGGACCCATGTCCAGAGCCCTGTCCATCCATACACCCAGCTCTAAGCCCTGGTGCCTGGTGCGGTGGGCCCGCGGGTCCCAGGCCTCTCTGCCTTCTGTGAGCAGGCGTGCAGCCCCTGTCATGTCCCCTTCTTCCCCCGATGGCCCTCGGCACGCATTGCCTCCGCCCAGCTCTGCTGCAGGTGTGGCAGCCAGGCTCGGACCCCACCTGGAAGCGCGTGCGCTCGGCCGCGTACACCTGGTAGTGCAGCATGGCCTGCAGGACCTTCTTGTGACCTCCGGGCACGAGGCACACGGCACCCAGGATCTCCAGCACGGCCACCTTGGTCTTGCTGTTCTCTGTGCGGAGGCTCTGCGCGATGGTGCTGATGGCCTCGGGCTGCGCCAGCACGTGGGCCCGCCCCTGCGAGTTGTTCATCAGCGCCTTGATGCAGCCGATGAGGGAGGTGTGGATGCGGCTCTCGCAGGTGGCATGGTCCATGCTCCGGAGGAAATTCAGCAGGCAGGTCAGGCCCTCCAGCTCGATGAAGCGGGTCACGAACCTACAGGCCGGAGCCGTTAGCAGAAAAGGTACCCTGTGTTTGAGGTCCACGCTCTGTACATTTTGCAATCGTACAGATCATACTGTGACCTGTGTACCATAAATCCTGCCTGCAGTGGCCACTTCATGCATTTATAAGGTTTATCCAGGGCACTATAAGCTGAGCATACTCACAGAACAAAACCGTGTGTTTCATTTGCATTTTAAATACTGCACATTCATACACCAGTTGAATGTCAACTGCATAGCTAAACCAGGGTGTAGGTAAAGGGATGTTGGGTAAACCCGAAGACCCATCTCAATAAGAATGGGGATTAGGAGAATTATAGTCCGATGGCCATCCAGGGAGGCCATCAGACCCACTGAGGGTCTTGCAAAAACAGCTGTTATCTTGAATGTTAGCAGAAAAAAAAAATAAAACTCATTTAGTTCAGGGGTCTTTAACCTGAAGTCTGGGTCCTATGCAGGGTCTAGGGGTAGGGTTCAGGGGTTCAAAGACGAGGGTAGGAAAAGAAAACCGTATCCTTCTTCCTGATAACCTCCCCCCGAAGTTGAGCATTTCTTTCGGTGATGGATGTAGGCTATAAAGGACAGAGTTATTAGCAGAATCTGTGACTTGATTAGCAGAATCTTGTCACCCAATAGAAACTATCACTATTTTCATGGCAAATTTTCAGTGGGGCAGTGATCTCAAAATACTGTTTACACTCAACGGTTCAAGATGATGGTGGTTATCAGACGCCCTGCCAGCTCTCACTGGAGGCGTAAGAGGCACATTCACTGCGATCTCATGCATTTTTAATATTCAGTAGCGGTACTTTAATTGAATTGGTTCATTGTTTAGCCCCATCTATTTATTTATTTTATTTGGTTAAAGAACATCACTGTTGAGAAGCCACCTTTAAGTTTCTTCTGGGTGCCAGATATCCACAGCAGGGACACACACCCCAAAAAGAAAAAAAGGTTTAGAATCCTTCATCTAGTAGCATAATTAAAGATATGGAGGAAAGATCATAAGTTGAACTTAGGAAACACTACATATAATTAATATATAAATGTATCCATAGGTCTGTTGTCCAAATATGCCTAGAACAATAAACTATGCTTGGGCATGGCTAACAATAGGTCTTTTTTTAATTATGCTTTTCTGTATTTTACAACACTTCCACAATGACTCTGCGTAAGCTTTGAGACTGGAATTTGGGCAAGGGAAATTACAGTGGACTGGAGCAGGGTGAACGTCCCCTCAAGCTCTTTACTTCCTGACTGCCGTAGGCTCTCCTGGGTCCTCTTCCTAGGAGTGACCCCACCCCACCAGAGGACCCATCTCTGACGCTGAACGTCTGGCTCCTGTGGCAGAGACCAGGGCGCAGGGAGCGCTTCCATGACCCGATGCTCCTGGGATAGCCAGTCTCAACCTATCAATCCGATGCCCCTGAACGTGGGTCGGAAAGAGATGCAGTCACCTCAGCATGTCCACTGTGTGCAGCCACTGGACGCAAACTCCACAGCAAACCCAACAGTCAAGAGTACGCACAGTAGCAGGATGTAGAAGAAAGAACCAGGTAATTAGAGAGTGGTACATGTCAAGCACCACGGATTTAATCACAAGTTTATAGAATTTACGTTTTAATCCAAGCTGTGTTGAACAACTGGTTTGCAAAATCGCTGAAGATTTAACAGTGGGCTGTCAGCAGCTGACATGAGCCACTTCCAACAAGCACCAGGCAGAGCCATGGGCATGGAAGTCCTGAGGTGTCTGTTCTCTTTAGAGCCCTCTCCTTGTGGTGTGGAAGGAGGAGATGTCAAGCGCCCTTACCTGGCCTATGGCTGTCCCCTCCCCAGACTGCACACCGCCCTCTACCGGCTGGATGTTTTCAGGCCACGCCCACCCTATTCCTGGCTGACACTTACCCTCCTGCTAGTCTCCTTCTATCCTCCCTCCTGCAACCCAGAGCCTGCCCTGGGCCACTCCTTAGCGAGCTCCTCCTCAGGACCCCAAGTTTACTGGACTTTCCCATGCTGCCCTTTCCTCTTCACTCCACCCACCCCCAGCAGCTCCCCAGTAGCCCAGCAGAGCAGTGGGAGCTGGGGGTGGGGAGACGGAAGGGACTCCGGGGAATCCTGGGAGTACAGCTTGCTGTGGGACCCGCAAGAAAACGCAGTGACTTTGGGAAGTCGGGGGAGGGGGGGGGCGGGCAGCCTATGCCACCTTAGGGTGGAGAGGAAGTCAGGGTAGAAAATGAGCTCTCACCTCATGGGCTGTGTCCGGAGAGCCGTCTTCAAATCTTCCACAACCTGGTTTCTCACCTCTGTCTCCTCCTCATCGAATGCATACAGACTCTGCATCTGTAGGGGTAGTGGAGGAAAGGGGACAAAGGTCATGCTGGGCCACCCATCTCCCTCTGGGTCCTGGTGTGACGCAGGGACCACCCAGGCCTCCGGAAGGGTGAGGTCTCAGAGAATGGTCCCTAAGACAGTGTCAGACTCTGAACAGACCCAGGTTCTGGGGCAGGATTCCAGTGTCCTTATCTGGGAAATGGGGAGAATCTGTTTCCCAAGCTTGTGTGACATCCAGATGGGTCAATAAATGTCTAAAGGATCAGGGTCACTGATGTCCCACGGAGGAGAGGCATGGTTTCATGATCATGAGCATGCCTAGGAAGCCGCTGAGTAGGGCTCAGAGCGGGAGGCAAAGGTAGTTCCTTGGGGGGGCATCACAGCCCCCATGGACTTTGTAGGTAGAGTCAGGACAAGAGAGGAACAGCCACTCACCGCAGCCATGGAGTTGATGCGGTCGATGTAATAGTCAGGCCAGCTGGTCGCCAGTTTGTTGGGGTCCTCCTGCTCCTGGAAGAGGAAGAAAGTTGGTTTGGCCCAAGTGGCAAGGCAGGCCCATGGCCAAGACCCTGAGCTTCATTCAGACAGCAGAGGGGTGCAGTTCCCAGCCTGCCCACAGGGGGCAACCTACGGGGGGAGGCAGGCGCCCCCAGCTTCCATTCCTTCCCAGGTTACTGTGGATAACTCAACAGGATGGGCAGACGCTATTGGGTTCCGTTTTCAGTGGACAAGAGGGACAAATTTTCAAACAGCCTTTTCTCCAGCTGTATTTGTTCTGCTTGTGCTTAGCAAAATATAATTGTAAGGTGGTTGCATCTCACACGTTTGTCCTTGTATCATGCTTGTGTCATGCAAAAGCATTGGTCGGGGAGGCGGTTTGGAAATTTTAAAATTTTGCCTTTCTCTCAGACAGCATAAGAAGGCTAACATAAAGCATTCGGGGCAGTACCAGGCACACGGCATGTCCTTGATAAATACCTAGCAACTACCGAGAGAGACAGAGACAGAGACACAAAGACAGGGTCTCATGCAGACGTGGGCTCTGGTGATGGCCAGGGACTATGATTTAGTCACTGTCATGTCTTCCTGTGCAGCTGGGAAGCAGCCACATTAAACCTCAGCCCCCAAGAGGAAGCTGAGCTCCACCCCTGGCGTGGGCAGGAGTTAAGGGTTCTCAGTGGCTTTGAGTGCTGAGCAAGCCCCAAGTGGCCCCCCACACCAGATTGAGACCTCATCCTGCGTGTCTGTCCCCAAGTCCTGGTCACTCAGGACACCAGCCACACCTTGCTTTCAGCCAATCAGCACCAAGAATCATCTCCCCCACCCCTCCCTGGGGAGCCCCTGGCCCCTCAGCGGGATCTCTGCTGTTCTGTTTTATCAGACCCACACTTTCACCAGAGGGGAAGCTGCCTCGCTCTGGACTTCGCACCTGCACATGGCTTTGTGTGTTAAGATCTTCCTGACCTGACTGAGGGCCCAGCGTTCTGTCTTCTGCCTTGGGGAGGGAATCACATGGCCCCAGGCAACCGTATCAACATACACACACTCTCCTGCCTCCCCACTATCCAGCTCCTGTGCATTTAACGCCAATCACTCGGTGCTGGGGAAAAAGTCATGGTCTCAGCCTCATCTATCACCCTCCAGCTCCAAAAGAAGGTTTAAACGCTCTGTGGTAGAACCGTCCACCTGAATGGGGGCCACCCGGAAGCTGGGGCAGAACACTAAGAGGACTGGGTTAGTAGTGGTTACTTAGGCTGTGGAGGGGAAGATGCTGGAGACAGGAAACCCGTGTGGGAAGGGAAAGAGGTGTGCGAGTGTGAGGGGGCCCCACGCTGCGTCACAATTTGCTTTGGAAACAGCGAGATGTCCTTGTATTTTAGTAAGTCTTTTACTTTAGCTGTGTAAGAGATCAACTTAAGGGAACCCCACAGAAATCGAGGTGGAGAGTGGAAGAGAGAGAGAGGAAGGATTAGTTTTGATTTTGTATTACCTACCTACCTAATTCCTTTATTTCCCCCTCACTTCCTCCACCTTGTCTTTCCCTTCGTCCCCCCCTCCCCCCAACTTGAGTGTTTTTAAAGCTTGCTTCTCTCCCAGTGTCACTCCGGGAAGCCACAGGTGCTTGCTCAGGGCTTTTGCAAAGCAACACCAGTCCTCTGTGTGCATGCCCCAGTAGGACACAGTCTTCTTCCTGGTTCCTTCTCTGTTGCCCCCAGCCCCAGGAGGGGAGCCGGGGCAGAGAGCCGCTGTGGAGAGAGCGGGGTTACACCTCGGCCGCCCGGGGCACGGCACCTTCTTCTTGCTGCAGTAGATCTGCCACTTCTTTTCGGGTGGCAGGGCAAAGACGGCCTCCCGGTTTTTGTCGGTGAGATCCAATTCATCCTGAAAACACGAGAAAAAACCAGGAACAGTTTTGATTAGACTGCTGAGCCCCGCAGAGGATCGCAACACCCCAAACCTACCCTCTGGCCCATTCCCTCCGTCAGAGAGATTAAGCATGTGACGCAATGTCTCAGCCCTACAGCACTCACGGTGCCTTCCTTCCTGTCCACGCCACGCCTCTCCCGGGCCGCCCTGTCCCCTGCCCTCCTCCTGCATGGCTTTGCTGTGCCCTCAGCCTTTATGTTTTTGTTTTGCAGTGGGAGGCACTGGATCCGGGGCCTTGGCACTATGCAACACCCCAGCTCTTCTCCATTTTATTTCAAGACAGGGTCTCACTAAATGGCTAAGCTGCCCAGGCTGAGCTCAAACTTGTAATCCTCCTGCCTCAGCCTCCCAGGGTCACTCATTCTCCTGTCCCTGGCCTTCCCAAGCTTGTTAATACCACAGTTCAAGGGTTGAAAAAGAAAGGAGTCAGTGACATGTCCCGGTGTGACCTCCTCTCTCTCAACCTTTGTCCTGTGCCTCAAGTCCACCTGCCCTTTGAGTCTGTCCATCACACATTCCTGGTTCCCCCAACCTCAGCATGGGTCCCAGCATGGGCTGGGGGTGGACCGGTGACACCAGAAGCAGATGGGAAGGGTGTGGCACGCCAAGGGAGGTGTTGATCCCTCCCCACATGGGGGACCCTGACAACCCTGAGACCAGGCTGCATACACACACAGCTGGGGCTCTTCCAGGCTGGTCAGTGCTTCCCAAGAGATGGAACTGGGACGATGCCAAGGCCATCATAGTATGTAGGGGTCACTCTATGGGTACTCTGGGTGATCTTGGTGTGAAGGTTCCCTGTCTCAATGGGGAGGGGAATGATCTTCAAAACCAGTCTTCCTGGTCTAACTAGATTTCTCACTGTGGGGCCAGGGCCTGTCCGATGGGTCCCCTCTAAATCCTGGAATCCCCATAGGACCCAGTGCTGGCAGTCTCCCCTAGGAAGATATCTCATTTCTTTGTTCAATGCTTGAGTCAGTCTCCTTGCAAGCAATACTTGTTTGTCCTGGCTTTTTCTCAAGCACTTTATAAGGATCCTGCTTAGTAAAGATGCAGAGTAAATACCTGTTAACTAAAAGGAAAGAGAAGAATACCTTTTGCAATATCCTTCTTTTAAAACTCACACACACGGGGGATGGGGATAATAAAACACACACACACACACACTACCCCAAAAAAATCCCTAACCTCTATTCAGCTCCAAATGCCATTCTGCATTAGCAAACACCTGATCCCCATACTAGGGAAGGGTCCTAATCGAGAAACAAGGAGTTTTCCCAAACCTGAGGAAAGCTGAGTAGCTCTTCCATCTAACCTGCATGGTGTCACCTCGCCTTGGTCCTGTCATTTAAAGGGCTGGGTTGGCCTAGCCAGATGTAGCTATTAGAGAATGTAAGTATGCACGCAGATTGCACCGTCCGTGGCTTCACTGCTGGCGTGGCCCTAAGAGAATGGTAACCTGGAGCTACCACCAGACAGGCTCATACTGAGGGCTGCAGCCAGGGCTCAGGGTCCTACATCCCCCAGCGGGAACCTCTCCGGGTCTGTAGGTCGTGCCTCCCATCAGACCTCCAAAGAGAGTAATCGTGCTTCCTTCCTTGTGATCAGAGCCTGCAGTTTCCCACACAGGGCTCCTTGCAAAGCCAGGACGGTGTGCGAGTCTGGACAGGCATTGCAAAGTCAGGAATTCAACTGCTAGATGACTGAGCTCTGCAGGGCCTAGCAGGGTACGAGGAACTGTCAGCCTGGCCAGAACCCAGTCCTGGGCATAATAGAAGCATCTCTGGCTCTGTATTTCTAGCCAGTCATCTCATATTCCAAGGTCTTCAGTCTCTGCCCAGAAAATCCCACTCTGTCCCTTCTTCTTGCCTCCCAAATAAAAGGGTCCCTGGGAAACCAGGAATGGAGGAGGAAGGTCAAGCATTCTGATGTTTTTGAGAATCTTCACTGTCTTGTTTCCTAGAACCCGGTCCTGCCCTTTCCTATGGCGGCCACACTGCTCCCCTATGGGCTCTGGAAGCCAGCACTAACCTCCTAGGGACTGTTGCATGGTGTCCACCCCAGTGACCGCTTCTCCTACAGAGCTACTGTACTCTTAGACATCCACCTCAGCCCCAAGAAGTGTGTGGAGAGGTGGAGACCCAGCACACAGGCTCCTGCTCCCGGTCCCAGGGTCTTGAACCTCCTCCCCCTGTCCTGGGTCAACAACCTCCCTCTCCCCCACTGACCACAAGCTCTGCAAAGCAGACATTCAGCTCCTCTGGGTTCGGGATGGGGCCGGAGAACTCCATGTACTGCAGCGGGCGGTTGTCCTGGAGGTTGATCTCGGGGAGGTCACTGCCCCCAAAGCAGCACAGGAAGCCCAGGCCATGGCGGCTCCTCTTGCGGGGGGCCATGGTCACTGTGGCTGGAGTGGTCAGCAGACAGATGTCCTAGGTCCTCATCGCAACCTACACAGCAGAACAGACAGCATGGTGGTGAGGCACGGCAGCCAGAGGTCACTATGCCTTCAGAAACTCTTGGTCCCAGATTGCCGGGGCCCTCAGTCTAATCACCAAGCCTTCACAGCCTGTTTCCTCCACTGTCTCCACCTGGAGGACTCCACCTGGTGTCCTTTCCACCAGGCCAGCCCTCTCTTTTCCTGTCCATTCCTTCTCTTTGTCCCCAGAAATAAGAGGGCTGCAGCCACAGAAAGACACTTCCAGGTGGTCGGAGATGGCCTCACGTTCCACCGTCCATGACTTGCAACTGGGATCTATCTCCTGTCCTCAGGAAGATAAGACGGGCTGCTTGCCCACTTGATTCATCTCAGGCTCTCAATTTAAAGTAGCAGAGAGCAAAGCATAGAGGTGGGTGAGCAGGGAAACACCAAGTTTGTACGTGCACAGATCTGAGAGCAGGGACCTTTAGTGAAATGGGATAGAAGAATATTACTCAGTGTCCTGCCCAGGCTGCTGTACCCGGGGATGTCAGGATGAATGGGGAATGTCATCAAGGCAGTGATTCGCCCAGCCATCCACAACAAGGCCAGTGGCCCACAGCAAAGTCACCCAGAAGTCACAAGTGTAGCCCCAGACAAGGGAATAGAGGTGACCACTGGCTGGTGACCAACACATAGCAGGAGGCCCGGTGAGGTCTGCCTTTCATATGACCAAGCCCAGAGGATGCTGATGGGCAGAGGCTATAAGTGAAGAAAGGCTTGCCGTGGGGCAAGCTGAGTTCAGCGATGACCAGACTGAAGAGCATGGGCCCAGGCACGGATGGCCTATAGCCTCAGAACCCATCTGTTCGATCATCAGCACACAGGCCTCCTGAGGGGCAGGAGCATCCTTAACCACCGGTCCTCACCTTACCACTGGACCACGTACCCAGCCAATTATGTAAATACAAGGTGGCCAAAAATTGCATATATTTTTCATTAATTTTTATAAGACAATATAACATCAAATATAAAACATGACAATTTTATCCAATATATTCAATACAAGAATCAACTGATTGAAATGACACCTACCAAGTGACATTCAGGATAGTCCATACGTACATAAACATGCTGCGCAGGTGATGCACAAGGTAAACTATTAAGTGGTTAAACATACTTCCAGACCACCCAGACAGGGTCAGCAGAGACCTACAGCTAGGTACCAACCACTGCCATGCCAGCGTCTCCTCATGCAGGACTTAGAGATCTTAATTTTTAGTACGTAAACATCAGATTCTGTCTTTAAACTCTGCTGGCCTGGGGAGGGGGTGCCAAGATATATTTGGGTCCTGATTCATATTTGTTTCTCCTAGATGCAGATCACCATTGAGGACAAATGTCCCCATGTTCACCGCTTACATCACTGGTGAAACACAAGAACACACACCTCAAAGACACAGCAACCCCACTCACGGACTGTCCTTCAGCGTCCATCCACAGAACCGTGCTCTTACCCATCATTCTTTTCCATAAAGTTTTTCTTAAACCCTTTGGAACTCAAAATATGCTAAATATAAGGCACTTGAAACCAAGCTCTAGAATCTTATAAAAGAACACAAGATAATGTGACATAACCTATTCCTAGTGAATTTAAGGTAACTTTCAAAGAGCACTGCTTTATTTTCTAACTCTTAGTCTAGCTAATAATCTAGCTAATCATGCAGTATAATCATAGGTGGTCTGTCTTCTAAGCTATGATCCATTTTAAAGTAGAACTTTTTACTGCCTCTGCTTTTATAAAATGTGTGATGGGCTTTTTAATAGGACCGGAAACCCTGAAACTAGCTAAGGATGCCTTGAACTATTGGCTCACTCTTCTGTTTCCATGCTCTCAAAGAGTGAAAGCTTCCTGAGGGCAGGGGCCATGCTTCCTATTTTTTTGACACCTACTCCTCCTGCAGTATTTTACTTTCCTCATTTCTGGGACAAAATATCCAACACCTGCTACTTAGAGAGATTTATCTTGGTTCAAAGTATGTAGAGGTTTCAGTCCAGAGTGAATGGGCTCCAGGGCAGGACAGCATGGTACAAGAACATGATGCAGAAGCTGCCAGTGTGTCATGGCAGCAGGGAAGCAGAGCACGTCAAGGAAGGAGACAGGAATGGAGATAAAACTTCCAGGTGATGCACTCAGTAACCTGCCTCTTCCAAGGAGGTGCTGCCTAGCAGCAAGCCACCTCAACTGCCTCTATAATCCAATCACCTTCCAAAGGTCCCACCTATGATCAATAAAATGAGGCTTAAGGGAAGGCAAACCTATGGCACAGGTGCCGCAGTGGGTTGTTATCACTGAAAGCTCTAAAAGGTTCACCATCACTGCCTGCACCTAGATGAACATCTAGATGAAAACCCTAACCTTCTGGCCTTGGTCCCCCCAAAAGATTCATGCACCTATCTCTTTGCAAATAGTTTCAGCATTACTGAACCATTCAAAGTCTCCTCTGAGACTCAAGGCAAACTCTTAGCTGTGAGCCCTATGAAAATTAAACCCTTTCTACATACAATAGAAGGGGATAAGCACTCCCACTCTAAAAAGTCAGAAAAGGGGGAGAGAAACCAGTGGGCCCAACACAAGATTGAAACACAGCAAAGAAAACATTAACAGCACTCAAGGCAAGTTGTGACAATGGGACTTGAGCTCCAGAGGGTTTGGAGCGCTGCCCCCATAGCGATGCTGGTGGATGTAGCCTCATGGCTTCTCTCTTGGGCTGGCTGTGCTTACACCCTGCGGCTTTCCTGAGATGTTCCACATTCCTGCCTTCTGCAACTTTCTAGAATCTCCACTGCACTTTTGACTTTACACATTGCCCTCGCAGGGCACGTTGCCTGGCCTCCAAAGCCTTCTCCTGAAATCTGGCTGGAAGCTTCTTGGTCCCGTTCTTGATCTTGCATTCTGCATGCTGTAAAATCAGCACCATGTGGAAGGCACCAAGGTCAGTTGTTGGCTTGAGCAGACGCCATGCTGCTTTGTCGTAAGACTGCAGAAACCTCTGAGTGCCTGCATAGTTGTGCAGGGTAAATGGAATCCTAGGGAATCAATTCCGTAGGTGGCCTTTCTCCAACAGAATGCCCTGGGGCTCCCTTCTCAAGCCAAAGACTTTCAGTTTTGCAACTCTGATTCTGCTAAGAGTGGGGATTGCAGATTTCTGACATGCTTGTGAGCCATTTTTCCTATTGTCCTGAACCAAAGTGCTTGGATTCTTTTTAACGCGAATCTTTTTAGCAACAAAGCTCATCTCTTCTCCTACTTTATAGGTAGTTCTAGTGAAAATGAAAACTTTTCAAAAAGGTATTTTGCTCCCAATTTGCAGTACAAACTTGCTAAAAGTACAAGCAGTATCCATGCCATGGCCTCAACATTTGATTGCCTTGAAATGTCCCCCACCAGATCAATTTGTCCACCACCCTTAATCTCCGTATTCCAGAAAGTCTCAGGACATGAACAAAATGTAAACAGATTTTCTCCCAGAACCTAACACATGTGGCTTGGCGCCCAACTGCCATAGAGTCCTTGTTCCCAGCAAAACCCCCTAGCCTGATCTTTACTCTCTGCATTTCTGCCAGCATTCAGATTTGCTGAGCTCTGACCAGAATCCTGACCAGAATCCTCTATCAAGCTCAGATTATACCATTCTAAGGCTGCTTCTCCAACTGGCCAACTCCAAACCTCTCCAAACTCCTCCCCTGAACCTGTCCCAAAAGCTTCTAAACCACACAGTCAGGTAGTCATAGCAACGGCTCCCCTGCTCTGGTACTAAAACCCTCTCAGTCACTTTCCTCATTGCTGGGACAAAATACTCGACACCTGCAATTTAAAAGAGAGGTTTATCGTGGCTCACAGTTTGCAGGGATTTCAGTTCACAGTCAGCTGGCTCCAAGGCAGGACAGTGTTGCACATGGTGGAGGAGAAGTCACTCATGTCATGATGGCAAGGAAGCAAAGAGGATCAAGGGAGGAGACAGGGAGGGAGATATAACCTTCAGGGTCACACCCACAGTGACCCGCCTCTCCCAGCCAGGCCCCACCTCCTAACAGGAAGCCAGGCGACACACGGGATGTAAACCACAACACAGAGCTAACAAAAGATGTATTTAGTGGGCACTCTTGGTCAGCTGAAAAATAATTGATGTTTCTGCAAAAGGAAGACAGAGGGTCCTTATTAATCAGTCAGGATGTACTGACTGAAGATTCAGTACTAGCAATTGATAAGCAATAAGCAACAGAAAAAGGACGATCTTAGGGGCTGAAGGTGAGGAAGCAGACAGCTGTGCTATATGGTGACAAAGGCTTGGAATAGGCAGGCTGGCAGCGAAGGGAGGGAGGCTGGGGTTTTCCCTGGGATGTGGTACCAAGGCCCGGAGCGGGCAGGACAAAGCCCTGGAGTCTGACCGTCAGCTTTAGGAGAACACCAAGTCTGCAGGTGGACAGGGACGGGCTCAGGGGTCCCCTGCCCATGGCTAAGTTCGAGATGACCACGTAGAATAGAGATTAAGTGCTCTCGGTTCACCAGGCTCAGAAGTGCAGCAGTAGCTGGGGAATGAGCACAAGAATGGGGAAAAAACTCAGAGCCTGCAGTGAGGCGGGGTTGGGATTCCCTAGCCTGACGGACAACGTTAGGAAGATCTACAATCCCTGATTCCTGCCTGCATCCCTCAACGTTAAAAAAAATAACCCTAGGAATGAAATCAGGGCCTTTGCACTGAGCTACAATGCAGGCATTTTCATATATTTTATTTTGAGACAGGGGCTTGCTAAGTTGCCCCGACTAGGCTTGAACTTGTGATCCTCCTGCCTCAGCCTCCCAGAGTGCTGGAATTACAGGAATGCACCGCAATACCTGGCGTATGTCCATACCTTGCTCTTCTGCTCCTCAGCCAGACCTTTCCAGGAGCTGGGGGTTGGGGTTTGGCTAACACACAGCCAGAACACCGTGGTCCAGTCACCCAGGCTGTTCACAGCCACAACTGC